GCTAACAACTTTGACAAGACCATCCTCAAGGACATCTCTGGCCAACTCCGGCCAGGAGAGATGGTAGGAGAAGCCACATGAGCATCGAGGTTGACAGCTTACTGACAGTGCCTAGTTGCTTGTTCTTGGACGCCCGGGATCGGGGTGTACGTCGTTCCTCCGCGTAATCTCCAACGATCGCGAAGCTTTCGATGAGGTTGTCGGCGAAACTCGATATGGAAGCATGGACCACAAACAGGCGAAGAAGTACCGGCAGCAGATCATGTTTAACAATGAAGACGATGTGCATTTCCCCACATTGACCGTTAATCGGACGATGAAATTCGCTCTTCGAAACAAGGTTCCTAGGGAACGACCCGAGCATCTGCACAACCGGAAGGACTACGTTCAAGAGAAAAGAGATGGCATTCTCGAATCTCTGGGCATTCCGCACACAAAGAAGACATTGGTTGGAAACGAGTTTATCCGTGGTGTATCTGGTGGTGAGCGAAAGCGTGTTTCCTTGGCAGAAGTGATGGCTGGCCAGGTATTGATCTTTTCTCCATACAGCATGGACAGAATACTTACGATCTATATTAGAGTCCTGTTCAATTCTGGGATAACCCAACTCGCGGTCTGGATTCCAAAACAGCGGTTGAGTTCGCTCGCATGCTACGACGCGAGGCCAACGAGAATCAAAAGACGATCATGGCTACCATGTACCAAGCTGGAAATGGTATTTACGACGAATTCGACAAAATCCTTGTCTTGGCGGAAGGCCTTGTCACTTATTACGGTCCGCGCGCATTGGCTCGGGGTTACTTTGAAGATATGGGATTCGTCTGTCCCAAGGGAGCCAACATTGCCGACTTTTTGACATCGGTTACTGTGGTCACTGAACGGACTGTCGCCCCCGGCATGGAAGAGAAAGTTCCCAACTCGCCCGCTGAGTTCGAGGCTCGTTACCGCCAGAGTGCAATCTACTCCCAGATGATGGATGATATCCAGCCGCCAGAGAAGTTGGTAAACGAGGATGAGAATTTGGCTCTTGCAGTGGCAATGGAAAAGAGGAAGCAGCATGTTCCTCGACCTCAGAGTGTCTATACGACTGGTCTGTGGGACCAGATCCTCAGCTGCACCCTTCGGTAAGATACTTGGGATTAGAAGCGTGGTGGCGAAACTGACATTATCCTAGTCAATTCCAGATTCTAGCCGGTGACAAGCTCTCTATCGCCATTAAGGTGGTCTCCGCCATCTTGCAGGCTCTTGTCTGCGGCAGTTTGTTCTACAACCTTAAGCTCGACAGCAGTTCGATTTTTCTGCGTCCTGGTGCTCTCTTCTTCCCCGTTCTCTACTTCCTCCTCGAGACAATGTCTGAAACAACCGGATCGTTCATGGGTCGACCTATCCTTTCCCGGCAGAAAAGGTTTGGCTTCTACCGACCGACAGCTTTCGCTATCGCCAATGCGATCACCGATATCCCTATCGTCTTGGTTCAGGTGTCTTGTTTCTCCTTGATTTTGTACTTCATGAGTGCGATGCAGATGGACGCGGGCCGCTTCTTCACGTACTGGATCATCATTATCGTACAAACGCTGTGCTTCATGCAAATGTTCCGTGCGATTGGTGCCCTGTGCAAACAGTTTGGTAATGCGTCCAAGATGACCGGATTTCTGTCAACTGTCTTTTTCGTCTACGGAGGTTCGTTGTGTCAAGGTCAACTATCTTGGATTTATACTAATCCAAACAGGATATCTTATTCCTTTTGAGAAGATGCATGTCTGGTTCCGTTGGATATTCTATCTGAACCCGGGTGCATATGCCTTTGAGGCGCTAATGGCCAACGAGTTTACCGGCCTCGAACTTGACTGTGTCGAGCCTGACTATATCCCATATGGGTCGGGCTACCCCAGCGGCTCTTCCCCTTATCGTGGCTGCACTGTCAAGGGCAGCAATTCGGAAGGTGTCATTGACGGTGCCACTTACATCAAAGAGCAGTACAATTACACCTATCACCATGTCTGGCGAAGCTTCGGTATAATCATTGGCTTTTGGGCATTCTTTATCTTCCTGACCGCGGTTGGATTTGAATTGCGCAATAGCAGCGCCGGGTCTTCTGTCCTTCTCTACAAGCGAGGCGCCAAGAGCAAGAAGCCAGACGAGGAGAGCAACGTCTCGGCCAAGTCTGAAGGGGCCGTCCTTGCGCAGTCTGGAAAGCAGTCCACGTTTACATGGAACAACCTTGACTATCACGTTCCTTTCCATGGCCAGAAGAAACAGTTGCTGGACCAGGTGTTTGGATATGTCAAGCCGGGTAACTTGGTGGCATTGATGGGATGCTCTGGTGCGGGAAAGACTACGTAAGTGCTATCAAACGGTGACACAATGATGCAAAGCTGATTGATAAAGATTGCTCGATGTATTGGCTCAGCGCAAGGATAGTGGTGAGATCTACGGATCCATCCTGATCGATGGTCGGCCACAAGGTATCAGTTTCCAGCGCACCACCGGCTACTGCGAACAGATGGATGTTCATGAAGGTACCGCGACCGTGAGGGAAGCCCTGGTCTTCTCCGCTCTTCTCCGCCAACCTGATAGCGTACCACGCGAAGAGAAGATTGCCTACGTTAATCATATCATTGATCTCTTGGAGCTCGGCGACATCCGGGATGCTTTGATTGGAGGTATGTGACGGATCCCAACAAAGACTTATTCGGATGCTGACAATATAGTTCCCGGGGCTGGTTTGAGCATCGAACAGCGGAAGAGAGTGACATTGGGTGTTGAACTAGTCGCCAAGCCAACGCTTCTTTTCTTGGATGAACCGACCTCCGGTCTTGATGGACAGTCCGCTTACAACATTATCCGGTTCCTGAGAAAGCTCGTCGACAGTGGTCAGGCTGTGCTGGTAAGTCTGTCCATCTTTGCATGTTGGCAGCATCTCACATCTTTCAGTGCACCATTCATCAGCCTTCAGCGGTCTTGTTCGATGCTTTCGACTCGCTAGTGCTTCTTGCCAAGGGCGGAAAGATGACCTACTTCGGAGAGAGTAAGTTTGTCGCCTGCCTGCCCAGACTCAATCTAACATTCTTTAGCTGGCGAGGAGTCTCACAAAGTGTTGGAATACTTTGCAAAGAACGGAGCACCCTGTCCTCCTGACATGAACCCCGCGGAACACATTGTGGAGGTTATCCAAGGTAATACTGAGAAGCCTATTGATTGGGTTGATGTGTGGAGCCGGTCTGAGGAGCGCGAGCGCGCTCTTGCAGAACTTGAAGCCTTGAACAAGGAGGGCCAATCACATGCCGATTATGTGGAAGACCAAAGCAACTTTGCAACCCCGGTTTGGTTCCAGTTCAAGATGGTGCTGCATCGCCTCATGGTTCAGCTATGGCGGTCACCGGTAAGTTTATATGATTATATAACTGGGACCATCAACTAACAGGAACAGGACTACATGTGGAACAAAATCATCCTGCACGTCTTCGCCGCGTTGTTCAGTGGATTCACCTTCTGGAAGATGGGAGATGGAACATTTGCGCTACAACTTCGACTGTTTGCTATCTTCAATTTTATCTTCGTTGCCCCAGGATGTATCAACCAGATGCAGCCGTTCTTCCTCCACAATCGCGATATCTTCGAGACTCGAGAGAAGAAGGCAAGTTCTTTGAGCAGTACCATCAGAACGCTGGCTAACCGAAGCAGTCTAAAACCTACCACTGGATCGCATTCATCGGCGCCCAAGCCGTTTCGGAAATCCCCTACCTCATTATCTGCGCCACGCTCTACTTCGCATGCTGGTACTTTGTTGCCGGACTGCCCGTTGATGCGTACATCTCCGGCCACATGTACTTGCAGATGATCTGTACGTATACTTCCCTTGCAGAAACGAGCAGAACTAACCAATATAGTCTACGAATTCCTATACACATCGATCGGACAGGCCATCGCGGCCTACGCTCCCAACGAGTACTTCGCCGCCATCATGAACCCCATCCTCATCGGCGCGGGTATGATCGCTTTCTGTGGTGTCGTTGTGCCCTACGATAGTATCACCCCCTTCTGGCGGTATTGGATGTACTACCTGGACCCCTTCACCTACCTGGTGGGTGGTCTGCTGGGTGAAGTGCTCTGGGATGTCAAGGTGCAATGTGAGCCTTCGGAGTTTATTCAGTTCAACGCCCCGTCCGGACAAACGTGTGGTCAGTACATGGCCGAGTTTATCTCCGAGCAGACGGGCTACCTCCTGGACGCGAATGCCACCGAAACTTGCTCGTTCTGCCAGTACTCGATGGGCTCGGACTATGCGAAGACCTTTAACTTGAAGGAGAAGTACTACTCGTGGAGAGATGTAAGTGTATCCCTGGTGAGAGATGAGACTAAATGCTAATCGATACATTGCAGACTGGTATTACAGCGCTGTTCTGTATCACATCGTACGGATTGGTGTTTCTGATGATGAAGCTGCGGAGCAAGAAGACGAAGAGTGCACGGTCGGAGTAGACCACAAGATAGGAGGTGTTGATGTACATAGGGGGTTGGGGGCATTGAAGGGAAGAGCTACAAAGGCATTATTTGGGTACATAGATATTGGATGATACACCGACTGGATGCAGTCATATAGATACTATTTGTTATACTAGAATTTAATACAGCATTGCATGGTTTATTTTTATCACATCTTTTCCTTTCGACCTGAATTTGGTGGCTGGCACAAGTAGTATGACTTTTTGAAGTAGGAAAGGCATTGTGAGCGTGAAAAACATATGTATTGAAATGAGCAGATTAAAAGCCGGAGCGAACAGGAGTCTTGTCCGCCATGCTAGATTTTTATCGGAATTGTCGGAAGAACTAACACCAATCTGAAGATCATGTATCTCTTCCTCTAAAATATCATAGTATACATAGTATATGAGTACAACAAGATATATAACCAACCACCAAGAAAAAAGCCAGCCCAAAACAAAACCCAGGGTATATATATAACCAAACCAAACTCCCAAATCATTAAAAAACATCCATCAAAACCTAAACCTCGGCGTATCGGTCTGCGACCTCACATACGCGACATCCACCAACCTGCCCAAAATCACATACTCCAACTTCAACTTTATACTATAAACCAAAGCCTTAAACGTCACCTGGAACGTAAAAAACCCGGCATACTGAATCCCCACGACCGACAAATCCAAGACAATAATTACCACATTCACCAGCAACAACTGCACCAACACACTCCTCGACAACTCCCCACTATCCATGCGCAACATCCTCGCCGTCTCCCGTATATACAGCCCCGAGAGCAACAACTCCTGCGCACAGAACCATACCAACTGTATGCGCTCCATGATCCCAAATGCCACATTCACAGGCTCGGAATCCGGCATCGCATTAACCGCCAGTTCCAGCCCCTCGCTCGAGCAATGTAGTAGCACTCCGTCGAAGATAATCAGGTAGAGGAGGCCGCGCAGGAGTTTCTTCTGATGTAGCACGAGGTGTAGCCGGGACCAGAGAACGAGCGATTGTCCGGTGACCATGCCGGCCCAGCCGACGCCGACTATGGAGATCTCGAGGAAGTAGTTGGTGAAAGTCAGACCGAACATTTTGAGCAGGTAGCCGAGGCTGAAGGGGATGATGGAGAGGGAGGCGATCAGGAGGGACCAGAAGTAGGTGCCGGTGTAGCGTTTGAAGGTGTTGAGACAGAGGATGACCAGCTCGATGGCATTGCACCATGAGAGGGCGATGAGGATAGGGAAGACATATTCTTCGACGGTGGTGTTGAGATGTCGGGTTAGGCCGGAGGGAGATTGGGTTGCCGCGTCGTCAAGGGTGAAATGGGGCATTAATGGGAGGCATTGATTGGGGAGAAAGGCAGCAGAGGTTATTTATTGATGGATGGAAGGGAGGCGATGAGGTAGGTGGTGGTGGTGGAGATAGGGAGGGTTACACAGCACAGCATAGCAAGTTACTAACTTTTGCAATGGTAATCAGCAGTGAGGCGAAGTTGGTAATCATAGAGTTCGTCGCAAAGTTGTGGCACCCGATCTGGCAGGCAGAAGGAACGGCTGTGATTTGATCGAGAACGGCCAATTGCGTCATGGATGTCGGCAGTTATGGCGGTTTTCATGCGCTTATTGGTTGGAGATACAGGGATTGCGGATAAGACAGCCAATAGAAATGAACGTAAACTGCTAATCTCTCCTTATTTTGACTAGCTGCGTCGGTTAAATGGAAGGTGGTCATTGGTGGAGTCATCTAGTCGGAACGGTTCTGCCCGATAAGGCAATTCCTGATATTCGGCCCATTATTCCTGACGGCCCGGTGATTTTGGGGATGTGTTTGTCTTGTTTGTCTTGTTTGCTCAGGGACACGTCGCGTGCTCACTTGGGATAGCTCTTTCCTTACTGCCTGCAGACGCGATAGCCATGGCCATGCTGCGGCAAGTATAAGGCTGAAATTGCCGACAGCTGCATCGGCGGCTACTGCCTCTCACAGCAACAGCAGCTAATCACGTACGGAGCTCTTCCCCGCCATTACCTCAATGGAGCCGGGGACAAACAATCATTCTTCATCACCGGTTCTGCTGCCTCTCAAACTTCCGCCCCCGACGTGTCCGCAGGCGTGACAGTCATGCTTCCCACCAAGAGCTTGGATTTGACCGGGCGGAAGCCTCTGTATCGCCTCTCTGCAACTCCGGCGCCTCCTACCACTCCACATGCTCCGAATACAAAGCCCGCGGCCCAAACACCGACACACCCTCCGGCACCACAGTACCAGCCCTGGCAGCAAACGCCTCCCCACCCATATCCGGCCCCGTCCCCTCATGGACAGCCTCCGCAGGTTCTCTCCCCGTATAGCGAAGGCACTCATGGCGCCGACATGCAGGCTGCGCGACGGCGCGGACGGATGCTATTCGAAAACGAGCTCATCATCCTCTTCAAAGGCTGTATTGAGCGAAAGGACATGTACCTGACCAACCCGAACCGAAGCGTATTCTGGGACAACGTGGCGGGGTACATGAACAGCTTCACGGGTCGCAATTTCTCGCCTCCATCCTACCAGCAGATCGTGACGGACCGAAGCATTGAGCGTCGGACGCATCGACGCGACATTGCGACTGGAAAGGTTCACTCGGAGCCACCCAACGCCCTCACGACTGTGATCGACCAGTGGATTGCGATGGAGGATGAGCTTTTGAAGCAAACGAGCGAGATCGAGGCTTCCTCCCATAAACGGCACGCACCGGACAATTCTAGTACGCAGGATGCCAACCAAGCTAAGCGTTTGCGACCGGAGACGGCCGATACTTCCCAGGTCGCCCCTTCGAGTCCTTCGCAGGCACGTCGTGAAGTGGACGGGAACAGTCTTGCCCGGGCTTTGGTGCAAGAAGTACGAGATCTACGACGAGAGATGGGAGAAGTACATCGGAAACTGGACTTGGTCTTGGAGGCGCTCAAGGGGGTGAAGGAGAAACCGGATAACGTGGAATCAGATAAAAGATAATCCTGTGTGGGGTTATTGTTGTTGATCTCGGACAAAACTGCCATTTGAGGGAGTGAGAGGCATTGAAAGTGGCTGCTCGGTCGGTCGTTGCGAACAGCCGAGACCGGTCAGCCCCTCCTTCCCCGCATTCAATAAGAAGATGAGGCTACTTAAGTGAGCTTGACAGAAAGGATCTGTATGGGAATGATTGACGCAATTTTTCTCGGCAACGCAATCAGCTATCATGGCTCCTACATTCCGTGCAGAACAAATCGGGTCGTTGATGCGGCCCGAGGAGCTGTTGGCTGCCCGTAACGCTGCTGGACTGGGGCGCATCTACACCCGAACGAACGTGCCGGAGGATGTGCAGCAGATGACAAAACAGGCGATCGCCAAGGTGGTGGAGCAGCAGCAGGTGCACAAGGTGCGCCCTATCATGACCGGAGAGTTCGAGCGGCCCATCTTCTATGCTGGATTCTTTGAGAACCTGGAGGGTTTCGAGTTGACCAAGGTCCCCATCCCGGAAGGCTACCGCACGGGGCTTCCGACCGTGCAGACGCTCGAGAAGCTGGGCATCAAGGAACGGGATGCCTGCGTGGCTGTGGGCAAGATCCAGCACGTGCGCAGCCCGTACCTGGCCGACTGGGAGCACCTGCGGAGTCTGGTGCCACAGGAGCAGTGGAAGGAATGCAAGATGAGCATGCCGTCTATCACTTGGCAGCACCAACATTTGCGTGCGGGGGCCGCCTTCGCGGCCTCTAGTCCGTACACGACCGACAAAGAGTACTTTGCAGACCTTGCAAGGGCCTTTGCACGGGAGTACCAGGTCCTTTACGACGCGGGACTGCGCTCCATTCAGGTTGATGATCCGGCCATGACATTCTTTGTCACGGACGAGATGCGATCGGGGTGTCTGGCGGATGGGATTGACCCGGATGAACTGCTGGACCTGTATATTTGGGCGCACAACGAAAGTCTCCGGGACCGACCCGCAGATCTCCATGTCGGAGTGCACCTCTGTCGGGGCAATATGCCCGGGTCAACGCACGTACTCAGCGGGTCGTATGAGCGGATCGCGCGACGCATGTTCACTGAGCTCGACTACGACACGTTCTACCTGGAGTATGACACGGAGCGCGCGGGAGACTTCCAGCCCCTGCGGCATTTGCCGGTGGGCAAGAACGTGGTGCTGGGAGTGGTGTCGACGAAGGCACCAGAATTGGAGACGGTAGAGGAGCTGCAGGCGCGGGTGTATGAAGCGGCGGATGTGATTGCACAGGGGCAAGGCCGGAGTCGGCAAGAGGTGCTTGATAGCTCGCTTGGAGTGAGTCCGCAGTGTGGCTTCTCGAGTGTGAGCTATGGTCGGGGAATTGGAATGACGGAGGAGCGCATGTGGGAGAAGCTGCAGTTGGTGCAGAAAGTAGCCGAGCGGGTGTGGCAGTAATCTGGCATAGTGTGTATGCACTTCACTATATTCAAATGTACCGGATACTATTTAGTGTTGAAGAATGCGCGGCCGTCAGGCACAGCAGATTACATGACCCACAATTCCTGTCAAGTACCATGGCATGCTGACCTGCACGTGGTCAATTTGTTGGGTTCCGGATATCCGTGATGATCCTTAACCAATTTATCCCTTTGCATAAATGCGGGATTTTGGGTGGATGAACTCCCGCACGGCAATCCGTTCCAGCCGAGCTTGAACTGAATCTGACCAGTCTGCCGTCTGACAATTTAACTGGAGTCTATATAGCTGGGGCCCGGCACGGGCTCCTTATCCATCTACTACTAGTAGTACTACTCCCTCACTTTACCCGCCAATCAAGCCTTCCCTTCCCACCATGCACTTCCCCCTGGCAGCCCTGACTCTGTTTCCCCTCGCCACCCACGCCATTAACATTCTCTCCTCTAACGACGATGGCTGGGCCGAGCTCAACATCCGCACTTTGTATGATGCGCTCACTGCCGCCGACCACTCGGTGGTGATATCTGCTCCTGCAGAGAACCAAAGCGGATCTGGTACTTTCTATACCTAATACCTTGCCTTACCATCACTTCAGCGAATTAGAAGAACTGATTCATACAGGCTCCAACGACGCAACACCCACTGTCCTCACCTCCCCCTGCGAATTTGACTCCTGTCCCAGCGGCAGTCCCGCCGTCGGCCACAATGCCACCCAACCACGCTTCAACTACGTCAACAGCTACCCAGCGACCTCCATGAAATACGGGCTCAACAACCTCTCCTCCACCTACTTCTCCGGCTCTCCCGACCTCGCCGTCGCCGGTCCCAACGTAGGCGCCAACATCGGTCTAGCTGTCTTCTTCTCCGGCACCGCCGGCGCAACTACCTACGCCGCCAATCAAGGCATTCCCGCTATTGCTTTCTCCGGCTACACCGGCTCCCAGATCGCCTGGAATGTGAGCAGCGTTCCCACGTACAGCACCGTATATGCGCAGCTGGCGACAAAGTTGGTAGATGAGTTGGTGGAGTCCGGAACGCCGTATTTGCCTACAGGCGTGTGGTTGAATGTGAACTTTGGGGCTGTGAGCGATGATAGTTGTACGAGCGCGGATGATTTCAGCTTTGTGCTGTCGAGAATCTTTACGGCGATTCCATTGATCACGGCGGATGATGTGGAAACCTGTAATAGTACGAGGTTGCCCACCGAGTTGGACGTTATGCTGCATAGTGGATGCTGGGCGAGCGTGTCGGTGGGTATGGCGGGAGATAAGCTGGATGCGAACGCGACAGTGCAAGGAGTGGTATTGGACAAGCTGGGGGGACTGTTGACCTGTTTGGATTGATTCCACTATTCCGGAGGTGGATTGTAAATAGTACCAGTACATAGTATATAGTCAGTATAGTATAACAGGCGGAGTAGCATGTGCAGCCCTATATCCGCATATACGCCTGCAGGATGCGTGGTCCGAACACATGCCATTATTGGTTGAAAATACGCCCTCCGACATTCCGTGTCTATATGTTAATATGCGCTACTATTAATCTATTCTACTTGGTATTCCCCTCACTGCCCTGAAACCACACGTTCCTGCCGAACATTCTCCGTTCCAACATCCTCCGTGCCTGTCAGCATTATCACCCGGATACGCGCATCCAGCTGATCCTGCACAGGAATAGGCATAACCCCCGAGCAGCTACCACATGCTCTATTCTCCCGACTATTGCCCTATTGGCCCACCGCATCCGTTCCTCTGCAGATCTGAAGATACTTGCCTATAGTAGAGATGGACATAAAAGGAGCTCCCCTTCCCCCTCATCCTCATTCCATATTCTACAAACCAAACATCCAAGACAAAAATAAATTAATAAATAAAAAAAAAAGAAAGACACCAACAAAATGTCCCTCCGCACCCTCCTCCTCGCTGCATCCACCCTCTCCGCCACAACATCAGCCGCAGCAGTAACAGCAAGCAAGCACCGTCTTCATGCGCGCGACTGGATCGCCAGCGATGAAATCGTCGGCTTCAACCAGACCGTTCCGGACAATTCCACCGGCGACCTCTACCTCGCCTACCAGCCCTACCTGAAGGTCGTGAACGGATGCGTCCCGTTCCCCGGCGTTGACGCCGAAGGCGATACCGAGTATGTCCACCCTCCCAGCTACCTACCACCAGATATCCCAACCAAATCATCCTAATGTCTGAAAAACAATGATAGTGCCGGCCTAGCCCCCACCGGCTCCAGCGACGGCGACTGCAGCTCCAACACAGGCCAAATCTACGTGCGCAGTAACATCTCCTCCTCCAGCACGACCAGTGAATACCCAACAGCATTGCTATACAGCTGGTACATGCCCAAAGATGAGCCCAGCGACGGCCTGGGCCACCGCCACGACTGGGAGGGTGTAATCATCTACCTCTCTGATTCTACTACCGTCTCCGCGGATAATATCCTGGCTGTGTGTCCGTCTGCGCATGGCGGGTGGGATTGCTCCACGGATGGGTATACGCTTGATGGTACGAAGGCGCTGATTAAGTATGAGAGTATCTGGCCGTTGGATCATAGTTGTGGGTTGACGGATGTGGTGGGTGGGACGCAGCCGCTTGTTGCCTGGGAGAGCTTGACTACGGCGGCGAGGGATGCCTTGCAAACGGCGGATTTCGATAAGGCCATTGTGCCGTTTAAGGATAGTACTTTTGATGAGAATTTGGCGAAGGCTACTTATTGATTTAATAGTAGTATGGATATGATGAGACGGGGAGGGGATGGATGTATATAGTTGTGTGGGTAGGGTTGTGGGTAGTATATATTGAAGATTGATATGTCAGATGATAGTCAGTCATTGTGATGAGTAGTTATTGAGTTCAGTGAGGATTGATGTAAAGAGAGGATCTACTTACGTAAAGGGTTCCGATTGAGGTAGAAAATAAGCCAGTGCATCTATATCTTTCTACTAGGTTACCGTTTATGTTTATTCTAAGAGAATATGAGGCAAGTCAATTTATTTAATACACTAAGCAGCATAGACTAGCTATGACTGACAAGAGTAGAACTAATAAGAGTAGCTAAGTAATAGCTACTTAAGCACTAGCAATGCACTGGTAGTAGTAAGGGTTGTAAGAGTGGCAGCTAGATCCGCTAGCACACTGAGTGGCACCAGTCCAGTTGATACCACCGCACTGGCCGTACATAGACTGGCTACCGGAGCTACCGGAAGCAGCAGAGCTGACAGCAGGAGCAGGGGTGATGGTCGACTGAGCAGGCTCGGGCTGGACCGAGGTGGTGGGCTGCACAGCCTGGGGGGTGTTGGTGAAGGTCAACAGGGTAGTCCAGGAAGAGGGGACCTGCACGGGGATCTGAGTGTAGGCGGAGGAGCTGGAGCTGGGGGCAGCAGCGGCAGGGGCACTGCTGGACTGAGCGACCTGGGTGTTGGTGTCAACGCTGGTCACGGCGGCAGCGCTGGTAGCGGCGGCAGCGGTGGAAGAAGCAGAGGCGACGGCGCTGGCGCTGCCAACGACGGCAGTGCCGGTGGAGGTGATAGCGGAGGTAGTCTGGGTGATGGAGACGGCGCCGCTGTAGGCAGTAGGGCCGGGCACGGTGTAAGTGGTCAGGGTGGAGTAGATGTTGACGAGGATGCCATTCTCAGTGGCAGTGTAGAGCTCGGTACCCTTGACACCGGAGGGAGTGGCAGTACCGGTACCGGTGACTTGGAGGTTGAAGCACTGGGGGTAGTTCTGGGCGCCATCCTCCTCCTCAGCGCCGTGGAGAGCGATGAGCTCGTGACGGAGGACGTAGTTACCGGCGGCGATGGAGGGAGGGATCTCGACCATCCAGCTGTTGTTGTTGTTGATCAGCTGGTCAGTACCCCAGGTGCCGGGGACTTCAGTGTCGCTGATGAGACCGACACCGTCGATCTTGAAGAACTCCAGGTCGGTCTTGTCGACGGTCTCGCAGCTGCCGTCGCAGCGAGCCAGGTAGTCCAGGACGGGACCGTGGTGAGAGTCGGGCCAGGCAGTCCACTGGATGTTGATCTTCTCACCGGCACCGACGACAACGTGGGCCTGGGCGTTGGTGGCGTTCTCGTGGCAGATGATGTTAGGGTCGCGGTAGGCATCGGGCGAGATGAAGCCGTTGCCCGTGTTGGGGGTCGTCCAGGCGGCGACCTTCGGGGGGTCGGACTCGTAGGGGAAGACGCTGATGTCGAAACCCTCGTAGTAGACACCGTCGACGACGAGGTTGGTGACGTGACCGTGGGCAGCGACCTGGGTGGCCGACAGGAGGGCCGCGAGGAGAGAGGCAGACTGAGCTTGACGCATGATTGCTAGAGTGGGTTTGGAGAAGAAGGAAAGGTTTTTAGAGAAAGTAATGTAATGGAATGTATCTAAAGTGTTGTAAAGAGCGAGCGCGCAGCGCAAAGAGTGTGAAAGCCTCAATCAATGAAGCGGAAAGCAACGAAGGGAATGATGGAAGAGAAGACTTGCTTGAGGAAGGGAAAAAACAACAGCATGGTCGAGGAGCAGCATGGCTTTTAAGTCTTCGGGTCGCCCTGTCAATATTTGGCGATGCTTTACCTGTGTCATATCTCAAACCACCGCTGGAGCCGTGACACCCACCCAGGAGTCTGGTCTGACCACCGCCCTAGATAGCGGGTCCGAACTGGGCCCTTGAGAAGCGCCGTAGCAATTAAGGTGAGGGCAAACGGCGGTAGGGCAGGGGCAAGTGTTCCAGATCCGTCTGATATTAATGCTATTACCCGACTAGGGTCTTGGCTGTCGGAGAGCTTCCACTTTTGCCTCACAACAACCTTCTGTCACCATCTGTCGAGCATGTTCTTGTCGGTTTCACTCAGAATTCGCTTATCATGAAGAAGCTTCTCTCAATTAACAGTTCAAGAACAGTTGTTCAACAGGTAAAGAACGCTGCCAGTGTGGTTAAAAATAGTAGTAGATGCCCGCCACCCACTGCGGATCCGGCACTAGCCACCGAAGAACTAGTGTATCCCTAACTAGATGATAGCTCATCGGATTAATGCTGGTCCAGACTCATATAAATTAAACTCTTCCCTGACTGGTCGTTCCCACCAATTACGCCCCTTGTTGATGCTGAATAGCCGCCGTTCCTGCAGCACTCAGTCCCTGCCAATTTTCCACAGACGCCCGCCACCACAATCGGGAGCGAAATCTCTGGGTTCTCCAATGACAACCAGTAGTGGACCATCGTCTTGCTTAGATGCTAGTATAGATGGAGCGTATTCGTCAGCAAAAGCCTGTTGCCTCGCCGAGTTTGGTAGCGCTTTGACCGGCCAGGGTCCACGTCGGAGTCTGCTCCGTGGAGGCACAGCTGTGTACGGAGTACCCTGCACTAATCAGTCCCTAATCGCAGAGGTGTATAACGATTGTGCCATCACCATAGCATACCAACACAACCTCAAGTGCAGCAAATACGACGCTGTAAAAGCAAGGCCGTGCGACTACCAAGCAACTTTAAGATCATTAAACAATTAACCTTAAGTGAGACACAACGGTAACGTTGAATGACTCGCCATGGTAGTGAGCCCTTGGCAAACCGGATCGAGTGTGGGCCCTGAAACATACCTGTTTATTAAAGGCGGCCGCAGCGTCAACATACATCCTCTGCACAGCCTGCTTTCCTAATGTAGCCCTGGTCGGCAGGGCAGTTCCGGCCCTGAGTCAGCGGGACTGCGCGGAATTAAACTAATATGAGCTGCTTGTAAGGCTGTATTTAGCCAGATTTGGTGGCATCGGATGTTCGGATCGGATACAAGGTCATATTGCAGGGGCTCTGGCAAGTCTCGGAGCGGGGATCTGACCTCGCTCGAAGGCAGTCATTGGCGGTCGCATGCATCATCAGTATTCCCAGGAGCATTTAAGCGCCGTGTTTATGACTGATCATGTTACTGCAACGATTTCTGTACCACGCGGTACCTGGAGAATACTGCCCACGGTTTCGGTAGTATCAAGGAAAAATAAAAGAGTACCAACGCAGTCTGAAGAGAGAAAAGATTTGCCGAAAAAAACAAACCAATAAAAAAGCAAATTAATACACGGGAAAAAAGGAAAATCAAAGAACAAGCTACCACTTCCAATCACTCGTTGACCCATCCCAGTCCGGCCCTGGGGGACGGGGGCACTTAGCCAGACCCCAAGCGAACCACACCGCAGGAGACCACTTTTTCTTCTTCATATTAGTCGTCGCCATATAGAAGCCAACGAAAAATCTTCGTACATACATAGGCGTATTAGCAACAACCTTTTCTTTAGTTTGCATTTTAAGGACAAGGACTTACAGAGTAGATGATCCCTCATCCCAGACGAGGTTGGACAACCTGCCACCAAGAGGCATATAGCCCCATTTAGAAAGCTGTCTGTAGCTTATGTCAGTCCAAGCCAACCGCACATGATGGACGTAAGAGAAGGAAGGAAGAAAGACGGACAGAAAGTTGTTTTTGAAGTGCTCTCGGATAATGTCCCTTTTATCTTCTTCCATCGTCCAGAAACCACAGTCTTCGTCCCCACCCTCTGTACCCAGTTGTTCGCCAGCAACCACCTCCCAAGCTACATAGACTAGGAAGCCACCAGGGACAAAGCCTGAGTCATCCTGGGTGGTGTTTTTGGAGTCCAGTAGGCGCGGCGTGAATCTGGAGCGCTTTTTGGTAAGGGCACGGAGAGCTATCAATTCATCCGGCTCACAGGGTTTGGCTTGCTTGGCGCGAACAGCTGCTGGCTCGGCCTCGGTACCAGCGGCTGGGATCTGTTTATAGATCCTTACATGTGATCTGGTATTTCCATCTGTCTGCTCACAAATGAGTCGAATTGTGACGTCGGAGGCGGGAGGGTGGCCTGGGCTGCCTTGGTCCTTAGAATATTGCGAGATGTGCTCCTCACACGCCTGAACGACGGTCCACGACTTCTGCATCTCAATAACTGCACCAGGACTTATTTCAGACTCCGAAAACCAGTGAGAAAGCATGATTGATATGACTTTGATATCTAGGGACTTTTGAGATGATTTAGCGAAATCGGGAGAGTGTATTGGAGATAGGGGATGCCTCTGTGTTTATAGTATAGAAGGCCAACACATATGAAAGGCGAAAGGCTAGATGGAGTCAAATAGACTAACACTCTGCTTCCAGGAGACCCACTCAAGATATTGTGAATGGTAGACAACCCCTCTTGATGTGTTAATGAGGTTAGAGGGGCGTCTGCGGCCTTGAAAACTTTAAAAGGAACCACATCCATTCATTAGTAATAGCAAAGCATTCCAACCAATGTCGTCTTCAGCAATAGATATAGATAAAACCCCTTTCTGGCTCCAAAAATCGTCATTAAAACTTTTTGTCTAGTTGAATTTGGGTAAGAATGACAAGTAAATCTGAATGTTAGAATTATATATGACACACGTAGATGAATCTTTTTGTATGTTTATTTACAATAAATTAGCAACATAGTGTATGATTCTCAAAGAACTGCATCAATCATTTTGATGTCTAATAAGAAAAATATATTTGATATTATACTAAAATAATTCTGAAAATATATTTTTTCAAGCTGATACGTGGTCTTAAAAGTATAATATGATAACCAGTAGATGGGAACTTGAAGACAGGATAGCAGAAGATTTTGAGAATCACTGATAGCTTTATGTACAATTAAAGCTTACAATCTATCTCCACGCTTGTTTACAACCCAACCCTTCCTCCTGGATGTTCTCGTCACATGGATACGCCCTTGCTGGGCCTCAAGACCCAAGTGAAAAAAACATTGCCTGAGACTCGGCTGTCCATTATTATACATGGTATCGTGACAAACTATGGGTGAATAAAGTAAAATTGTCTGTCCCGGGATATCTTCCTGTTTCAGAAAGATCGTTTGCGTATATGTACTTAGGTACCCATGTCGCAGTTTGCAGTCCCTCATATAGAGCGCCGCTTGCCCTGTAATCTCAGTTAATTCTACCATTTTATCATACAATGTTTGACCTCATGCTAACCAAGTATTCGGCGAAATTCTCTCTCGTCAAGGTAAGCCTGCTTGATATCATGGCGGGGGATCCAGGGAGTCTTTATCTCCCCTACTGCGTAGGGAGCTCCGGCGCCATTGCGCAGCATGCTATCCGGCACCTTTTTGTAGTTGGTTGGGGTGTCGGTGCAGGACTTGTAATCTCCAAGACTGATGTCCATATTCTGGGACCTGAATATCCCCCCCATAGCCTGTCCGACTGATTGATTAACGCGACCCTGGGTCCCGTGCTCATCGCCAATGCGAACATGCTCGTGGGACAGACTATGGGGGGAAGGTCCGTTCTCCACTGCACAGATTGCCCCTCCAACCCAATTGTGGTTGATGAAGGTGGCCTCGACATCCTGATAAAAGTTAGGCCATGGTCTGAGAGTTCCTGAAAAGACAACGTCGTGTAATGCGTGATTAGTAGTCTTTTCGGGGCCTATATTCAGGCCAGGGAGGGGTTCTTGAACGAGTTCCCTTGCAGTCTTTGTAGTGCAAGCCATTGTATTGAAGATGATTTAGATCTATCGAATTCAAAGACAACCAGAAACAGGTATTAGAGGAAGATGCTTGGATATGACACCATTTAGAACGGCCCAGATCAACAGAATGTCATTGAGCCTACTAAAAATATAATATACATTCTGACCCACACATCTGGTTTTGAAGTGTTAAAGGCTCCATATGACAGCAAAGTAGACAAACCCCCCCACCCGAGAGAGATATTTCCATCATTTAGCTGTCTTAAGGTATGGAAAGAAGTGTGAAATTTCTTGAATGTGTAGTAATAATTTACATATGGATGATATGACAGGATGGCTAGTCTTGGTATATACACATGCCTTAGGAAAAGTCGGATGTTTCTTGTTTTCCGTATATCCACGCTTCATCTTACAGTTCTTCAGATAGACTGCTATGCGGCTTCATAGGATCTTAAAATATTGTTAAAAGTACTGTATATATAATTTCTAATGTCCTATTGCCGGGTAATACAGAGAAATGTAGGACATAGGACATCTTACGAGCAATCAGCCCTCAGAAAGCAAAAATGACTTAAGGTACGTATATGAACTTTTATGGAGATCAGCATGAAAAGGCTTGGGGCTGAACGAGTAGACTACCGCAATCAAAGCTTTGACTTGAAACCATGGTCCGATCTGTACAAGAAGCTATCACGAATCATCTCCAACTCTCTCCACAGATCTGGATGCAGAGACCCGGTCAAACAAAAACCCGTGCCTTTGCGATCTACATTAACACTGATAGCACCATGCAGGTAGATCCCGACATATTGTGCCAGATCCATGGTTTCAATGCGAACGTCGAAAAGGAGCGGCCGCACACCGGAATTAGTCTCCAGATCGTAGGGGTTTAACTGGGCCATGGAGGAGACTATAGTCCTGGGATGGGACGGACTGACTGCTCGCGGATGCCAGAGGTGCCAGGGCCCCATTTTCTGATATTGGACATTGAAAGCCTGGAGGCATTCTGCTGATTGAGCGACCCGCGTCACGCGGCGAATGTGGGCTGCTAGGTTAATCGTCGACTCGTGGCTGACTTGACTGGGGTCGAGGTCTGGCGGCCGTGGAATTGGCACAGGCCAGAAGCTGTTGTGGAATTTGGCAGGATTGACCAGTAGGTGGTTGAAGTTGAGCATGAAACCCAGCGGGTAGGAAGTGGTTCTTGGGTCATTGGGGAATGCCCGTACATTTGCCTAGACGGAGCCCCGTTAGCTTGACTCATAGCAATGTCCGTCACATGAAAAGATGGAATTGACAACCTGAAGAATCAAAGCCATGAGGATGTCCACACGACTTATGCGAATATCTTGTTTTGTAGCATGATAGGCAATCTGATCAATCACTAGGGCTGGGATGTGCATCATGCGGGAAGACCCCGTATTGCCACACGACGCAGGTGCCAGTCGGTGCCACAGTACACCCAGGGTGAAATGGGACGGTCTCCCGGAGAACAGGCGGTTACTGCCAGTGCTTAGTGTGCTAGGGGAGGGGTCATGGCAACGATGAGGATCGGATGGACTGTTGGGGGCGGCGTCGAACCGGAGAGTGACTGGCCGATGGAAATCAGGAATATCAATAGGGTTTCCGGAGAGGAGAGCTGCATAGGCCCACCCAATCATAGCCATGCCTTGGGAGATACCCAATTAGCAAGCAAGTGATAGCAGTCATGGATTGTCGCGACAGAGGGGTTTACCTAATCCGTCGCAAAACGCATGTTGGAATGTGAACTTCAACACGCAGGCATCTTCAAGACAAGCTGCAGTCAGGGTACAGACTGGAGGAAACAAAGTTGTATAGATGGAGCGAGGCACTGATGTGAGATCCCTCAATCGCTTGTAATCATCCTCCTGCATGCTATGTGGATAATCGGATACACGGGGACAGTTTCGGCAAGTGTAGCGTCGATAACACGGTGTTGGAAGAATGAGTGGGTTTGCGATGTGTGAAACGTCCCTGTACGCTAGAGCGCCCCGACTAGCAATTTTTTTCTCTACATTCAGAAAAAAGTACTAACCAAAAGGTTCAGTCTAGCCTGAAGTATGGGCCATTTCTGCACGAGTTGCTGAAAGCAATTCTCCAGCTCCAATGGTTCAAATGCTTCCTCAACCACTATCACACTATGCCCTTGGAGAAACCGCGATAGGCCTCTATCGACATAATGGAAGCTCATCTTGCACAATTTCGGGTGAAGCACTTGACAGAAACTCTGTTTGGCCAGGACCTTGGCTTGGGAGGATAGACATAGGGGCATAAACCTCACCAAGCGCCCCAAAGAAGATTTGACAAAAACAAATGAGATGATTGAACCCCTTGCATGACGATACATCAGAAAAGTATTATACCATATGCTTATAAATATAATGTCGACACATATATATCTGTCCACTGATCAGATCGACACCAGTCTATTTTTTTCTGGTCTGCAGGCGAGCGCATTGAAACGAAGTAACATGTGGCGTAGCATATTACAACACGGCTCTGTGCAGTGCTTTGCTCAAGTATTTCTGTAACTTCCCCGCGGTCTAGACCTTGGCCTTTACCAGTGAGTGAGCAATTTTTTTTACATTAGCTCGAGGTTGTTATGGGATATATCGATATCGAGAATCTTATCCAGAGTATCTGGTATGCAGATTCTCTATCTTCGCATGGCTGCTGAGACACTATCTCGGATCAATATAATTATCTGTCTGAACCATGGGTAGCTGTAATGTAAGTGTATATACTGAATAACTACTCAGATTGCCCGTTCCTACAGTCAAGAAGGTAACTTGATAACAAAATTAGGTAATGCTCATTGTTTGTAGCGAATAACAAATTATTAATGCAGCAGTCAAATTCGACGCTAGTCCGTTTCCGCGAAGAACACAAATCATGGAGGTTTTGCGTTCTGCTATTCTTACTCAATATCCTTCCAAACAAAGTAGCACCGCAGAGCTCAAATCCTTGGGCACAATGGTCGTGCTACTACATAGGAGGTCAATCCCGAGTGACACTCCCTGAATATCCTGGAACCGGACCGATGCCCGTTTCTCTGTGTACTACAATCTACAAGACGATAACAACAGACGGTTCACCGAGACAAAGGCGGATGATGGACTCAAGGGGTTACTATCTCAGACTGACAATAATCCTGTAGTTTGCGAGACAAGAATGTGGGCTCGACGGTTATGAGAGTATTAAATATGGTCGTTGTGCATAACCTTGGGGATGGTGAGCTCTCCGATGACCAAATCGCAAGTAATGCCATTGATCTGCTCGTCGCTATCGAGCCACGAACTTGGCTGCGCAAGGACATGCTGCTGGAGATCCCAAAGAACCGCACTCTCTAAGGTCAAACTGTGGGTGGGCTCAGTGATTATGTGGTTGAGAAATCAAAGGCAAAATATGCCCAGGGAAGGAGAGAAGACCATAGCCATGATTATTCCCAGTCTTCAGTTAAAGACATTCGAAACATGGTGCTCAGTAGTTTAAACTACCCATCTCAGAACTCGAAACAAATTATGGGGCGTTAGAGATATCATTCGTATCGATGATATACTATATTCGAATTAGAATATCTCGAATTAGGCTGCTTGCACGTCCTGAACTCCGTGACATGCAGTAGAGGTAGCAGATAATCTAACACATCGCGCCCAACTGTTAAGAGAACGAGCACTTCGATGAACCGCCATGAGAAATCATGGCGACGAAGGATGATCAGCTAATGATTCCTCGTGTCCCCAAATTGAAACTGTATCGCTAGGCTACCGTTTTCTTTCCTGCATTGAATGAATCAGTCTACAGCCCCAAGACTGTATATCGAATACGGACCCATCTGACAACATAGAGACTCTGTGCGCTTCTCAGATGACCCAAGTCAACACCTCATCGGCCTGGAAATAGGCTCTTTCCATCGTTTGCAGCGAATCCTGACTCAACCGACCATCGGTTCGTTCTTGGCCGAGGTGCTCAGATGGTTTTCTCTGGGCGCCAAGCTGCCGAGAGTCATTCAAGCCAGTGGAGGTTGCCAATTTCTCCGCCGTACAGCGGGTGAGATCTGGGTAGGCGGTTTTGTTTGAAAGTTGCCACGCAGATATCCCCGGATACACGAGGTTGTCGGCCAAGACTGAGCGGGGGGGTTACACTCTGCTACACGTACCCTCCACCAAAGTCATGCCTATATGATTTCCTCCTGCAACAGAGTAATTGCAGGCCATACCTTCCCCAGCCTTAGGAACCGCTTTCAGTGCCCCTCATTCTTGGCATGAGTTTCTAGTGAACTCAAATCGGATTCGGTACGGATGGAGTGACCACCTCGGAGGTTGTCTGTATGGATGTGCCACGCATCCAAGATCTCGGCATATGTAGTCCAAGACAATTGCAGTTGCGTTCATTGAAGTCCAAGGTTCTTGGGTCGGATCTGTGAGACCGAGTACTTAGACCTAATCATCAGAGTGGCTGTAACATTATCGAGCCTGAAGTTATGCTTTGACGCAAATAGAACGAGTCATTTCGGCTGGATTGAGCCCAATAGACCTAAACATCCAGGTCTTCAGTGACACCGGGGTACAAATAGGCCATCCTGACCTGGGGAAATTTCGTTAGGGCACGGTGCGCTCAGCTCTACTTCGAATATACACAAAAGACCTATCAAGTGGTCCCTGGGGCTGCATCACCTATTACCATTATGGATGACAAAAAAGGCGACCCAGAGAATCCTACCTCGACAGTTCATCACCTTGAATCACCTACGTCTAATGAAAAGCAAGATCCAGAGGTTGCTCGAGACTGGACACGCGATTTGACTGAGAGCAAGAATGTCACAACATCCACAAGGTTGAAAAATCCACTCGCTGGCCTAACGCGTGATGAGCTATTTCGAGATGTCGAGTCATTTGCAAGGGACAAGGGTTTGGAGCATATCATGGATGAGCTGAAAAGAGGCTCCCTCGTAGCACAAGATCCTAAGGGCTTCGAGTCCCTTGATGAATTATCCGAAGGCGATAAAGAACTGCTTCGACGTGAGAAGACACATCGATGGAGCCAGCCATTCATGATGTACTTCATGACCAGTATGTCTTTTCTAAGGCCGACACATTAGAGAATGCTAACGAGGTTTAGTTCTCTGTGCTGGATCAGCGGTTGTCCAGGGCATGGACCAGACGGCAGTTAATGGAGCACAAGAGTAAGTGATACACTGCGAGATGCCCTTTCTATATACTGAGTACGGTCAGGTTCTACTTCGCCGAATTCAACCTCACCAATAGATGGCAGCAAGGTCTTCTAAATGGAGCCCCATACTTATGTTCCGCACTTATAGGATGCTGGACAACCGCTCCTCTAAACCGTTGATTTGGTCGTCGTGGATGCATATTCATCTCATGCTTCATATCCTTCGCCTCATCCTTTTGGATGGCTGCGGCACACACTTGGTGGAACCTGCTACTGGCCCGATTTCTCCTCGGTTTTGCAGTAGGCGCCAAGTCAACAACAACCCCGGTGGATGGCGCGGAATGCTCTCCTGCCATCATTCGTGGTGCGTTGGTTATGATGTGGCAAATGTGGACCGCGTTTGGGATTATGCTGGGGTACATTGCTTCAGTTGCCTTCATGGATGTGACACACCCCACAATTCCCGGTTTCAACTGGAGATTGATGCTGGGTTCAACTGCCATCCCGTAAGCTTAGTCAGCTCCACCTAAGTCACAGGCCCTAGTTGTGCTAACCCCGTCCAGGCCCTTCTTCGTGTGCATGCAGGTGTACTTCTGCCCCGAGTCACCCAGATGGTATATGATGAAGAATCGCTATCAGGACGCTTACAAAGCACTTTGTAAGCTCCGCCCTTCCACGTTTCAGGCGGCCCGCGACCTCTACTATATCCACACGGCACTACAGGTGGAGGAAAAACTCCGGGAAGGCAAACACCTCTGGCGTGAGATGTTTACCATCCCACGCAATCGACGAGCAGCACAATCCTCGTTTTTTGTCATGTTTATGCAGCAATTCTGTGGGGTGAACGCGCTAATGTACTACAGCTCGAGCATCTTTGCAAATGCGGGGTTTGATAGGCGTATGGCGTTGGTGACGTCGTTGGGATGTGGTATAACGAACTGGATATTCGCTCTGCCGGCAGTATATACGATTGACACGTTTGGAAGGCGGAATCTGCTCCTCACCACATTCCCATTGATGAGCCTGTTTCTGCTCTTCACTGGGTTTTCATTCTATATCCCGGATCAGACTTCGCGGACAGCTTGCGTGGCGACAGGCATCTATCTTTTCATGATCGTGTACTCCCCAGGCGAGGGACCAGTGCCTTTCACATACTCTGCTGAGGCATTTGTAAGTCAATTTGTATCAAAGTTTGAGAAAGGTTCTTGCTAAACAAGACACAGCCACTTTATATCCGTGATGTAGGCATGTCCTTTGCGACGGCAACGACCTGGGGTTTCAACTTCATTGTCTCATTGACGTGGCTTCCATTGCGGGACGCCTTCAGTCCACAAGGGGCATTTGGCTGGTACGCAGCATGGAACGTCTTCGGATGGATCTTCTGCTACTTCTGTCTGCCTGAGACCAAAGCATTGTCGCTCGAGGAACTGGATCAGGTCTTCTCCATTCCCACGAGAAAGCACGTCAATCACTATGCAGGGATGCTGCCGTGGTATGTAAGGAAATATATCTTGCGAGGAGATGTGCCGCCTCAAATGCAGTTGTATGATTATGAGTAGATGGGAAAGCAGTGATGGCCCGAACGGCAGAACCAATACATCTCGTGGGCATTTGTGCCAAGGTCGGCTCACAGTGAACGAAGGGCATGCACCACATAGATTATAACTTTTCGTATCATCCACACGTCACTCGGCTTTGATTTCCATGCTCGATATTTCATCACAATCCCTATCCAGGCAAAATCTTACATTAGTACTTAGTTCTTCAATTATCACCCTAGAAGATTAATGCAGCTTTCTTTCATGAAAGCACACTTCAAATTTTACACTTGCTGATTAGCTGCCCCCCCCTTCAAAGATGTCTCAACCGTCGGTAGAAGACAGGCCAAGCCATGACACGATCTCAATCATTTATCCGTCCGACTTCAAGATTATTGTCACACGGAGTTACTCATACACAAAGTATAGGACGTACAAGCAGGCAACGTCCAACGTTGACCATGCAACACTTCTCAACTCGACTCAATTTTTTCGAGGCTGGTTGGATAGGAACAGGTTCTCTATGAAGCCTAAAAACGTTCTTGAACTCGATGTTTCCAACATTGTCACTTTTGAGATCATACTGCGCAAGCTTCATAAGACTCTAGATCAGATGAGTGTAGGCACTGTCTCTTTAGCGGACATCTGGGACCTGCCGTATTTATGCCAAACCTGTCATGTCGATTGCGAGGAATTTACACAATGGTTCAGGACGTGGTGCGCTCACCATAAGGGCAAAATTGAGCCAGGCAGAGAGCTGAGCTACTATCATGAGATATTAATTCCGAGTTGTGTTTATAACGATGCCGAGATCTTTGCCCAATCAACGAGGACTGTAGTATACCAGAACACTGGGCATATTACAGCGTGCATCCCTAATGAGTATAGGAAGCCGCTTGCAGCGCCTCTTATGCGTAAGTCCCGAATCCATTTTGCCCTTCTTATTCTACATACCTCCAAAATCGAAGTCCTGAAATACCGTCGTTGTTAACACATGAGATGTACGGATTTAACAGGCGAATTGAACGCCGCCCGTGATCGCCTTTGCGAGATTGTCCACCAAGAGCTCTCTGGCCGCATTACGCATATCCTCCAAAGACCATTGTCACCCTGCTGTGAGCGTACCGTTTTCGAATTCCTTCGGGAGCTTCAAAGAATACAAGCCTGGCCTTTTGATAACTGCTTCACGAACCTTGGGATTGACGAGCTGCTGAATCGCCTGGCCTATTTCGACGCAAATAGAATGCACAAGTACATTGATCCCGCCACGAACAGTCCGATTAACTGCGTTATGTGCAGTATGGACTGGAACACTATCGTTGACTCAACAGCGACTCGCGTAGCTGGTTATTTTGATGGACTGTGTCTTGACTGCGCGTTGAGGACGGACGAGAACCCTCTCCCTGGTGGGCAATACGACAAAAAGACTACTGGGACTGCTTAGAAAGCCAAGATCGGTACGATCGGAAATGTCGGATCAAACACGGAGAGCCCTCGTGGTACTTTAGCTTCATGGGACAGCAGCGAGAACTACAAGCAACCCCAGCTCATGGTGTTGCTCTCCCTTATCGTCTATCGAGCCAATGTTGAGTCTTTTCCGCTTAGACAAATGCTTTGCGCTTCTGATGGTGCTCCACTCATGCCCACTCATAAAACTCTAACAGGTAGGTATGCTTGTACCTAATTCAGGTGGTGGAAAACTCTGGTATAAATGATATTTTTTTTTTCCAATAGCTGGTAATACAAGTTCGATTTCCTTAGTATGAGAATCTTGAAGTAAGACCTAAATATTTCAAATTCATGCCTCTATATTCTCTCAATAGCAGGATTGCTACTTGACCTATCTCTAAAGATGAAACCCTATAGCCTATTTTATAGGACCTTACTATCCCTAACCATAGACCTTACATTCATCCATTCTGTAGTTATGCCAAATTCTCCCTGTCACATGGACCTGCAGCAGCCGTTTTATTTCAAGCCACTCGCGTAGCATCAATCCATTTTCAGGAAGCTGACAGGTCGGCCATGCTATCTCCTCAAATATCAGCCTTCAGGTTAAGATGTGTAACTGCATAACTAGGATTAAAAACAAAACGATATAAATTGCTTCGCTATATGCGAATCCCAAACTTCGCGATGACAACGCCTAGCACTTGACTCTGAAAGACAGTGCAGCCAGTTGCATACTTCTTCCCACATAAACTTAGATACCACCCAACCACATGCATCCGAAGAGAATCGATACCTTTGGCTATCTAGCCATTTAATGTGCTCCTCCAGACGCTGCTTCGGCTACCCCTGTCTGCGCTCTTATTTCAAATCCACTCAGCGGGGGTTCACAAAAAGTCAAGTTCCTTCCCATGCAGAGGTGGACCGGAGGTGACGTTTCCTTCGAGGAAAATTCGCCAGATGAGGCTAGCCGACACATTCATGTAATCTCAGCACCAGTGATTACAGCCGCATGCATCAGGGTGCTGAGGGCGGTTGTGGGGGTCGCCCAAAGGCTTCTCTGTTTCGTTGGTTCCATTGTTGTAGACTGCGTAGATCGAGGAAGGGCTCGAGGATATGAAGCAGTTCTCGGAAGGTAAGAACAAAGATATAGCAGGCTATCGCTTTTATAAATAGTGCAATGGCTTGCTCGAGCTCATTCGGCATTCTTTTGTGTTATGAGTTGGGGGTATAGACTAGATGTAACAGTCAAGTCAGGGTTGTATGGAAGAGTGGTTTGGAGTGAACATGCAACAGAGGGGTAATCGGATGAATGGATGAATGTGCTTCCAGAACTTGGTATTACGAATATTTCTAAAATAAAGCTCTAAAGGATCGCGCGGATACGCGATTCGTCGCTTCGTTAGCAGGGTTACTCTGGGCCTCTTCGATCAGAAGTCCCCGTATCTGCTCTGGACAGTATCGTCCTTATTTATTCCCTGGACCTATCGGAGGGCTGTGGCATTGTTTGAATATCTGGAGCAGGAACAATTATTCCGATCAGACTTACTGGGACCTGATAGCGTACTCGTATAGGGAAACATTTCAATTCGCCGAGTAAAGGGAACATCAGTATCCGCGACCTTAAATGTGGGCCAAGTGAATAGCTCCGATTGGGCTCTCTTTGGGGACTGACAGGGAAGTAGATCACATCACGCAGGGACTCATCCTACTAATATAAGCACATTAGCCTCATTAGGACAGTGCATATGATTGGGGGCCCAAGATGATCACATGGAACTGGTTAATGGTCCACTTATTCATCTATGGTTTGTGGGGAAGCAGCTGGCGACCTACTAGAGTGACAGGGAAGGCATTCCAAGCGGAACCACCCGACGACGTAGACTTGCTCTATTGCATGGGTTTCACCGTCTCCCAACTCAACCCTACATACCGCAGCAGTCCACATAGTAGACCACCCCGGATGTTACATTGGGGTAATCTGGGGTGATAATTTAACTTCGCCTGTAATTAATTCACACTAGATGGAGTTCAACTATAATGTTAGTGGTTTTACTGCTTTTCGAAAGAACAAATCTCTATAACCACGTCAACATTCTTAGTAGCAGTTGTGGTCAATGAAATTAGACCTTTGCAAATTATATGCACCGACTCAAGCTGACATACACCCAAAGAATGCAGAAAGTAAGGCCAAGCAGGGGGAGACCCCACGCCGACGTTATCCGAATTGGGGCTTTCTAAGATAGACCACTGAACTGGGCCTTGCCTATCTCCCACCCAGTCTTCGAATTGATCAAAGGCACTTAGATTAGGACAGAAGATAATGCCAACAGGTCTACATGAGAAGGTTGGATACATTCAATATCAATATCACCGGTAAAAGAAGGCTTTGGCAACATTTTCATTCTACGGCGTGCCAAATATATTAAGCCAGACGACAAATTTTGGGTAGAAGCTATGAATAAATCGTAGTAACGGGGAGTATAGCCAGTGTCGTTGCTCTAAACGTCGATGACAATCTTTTGATATGCTGTACGTAACCTTCAGTGCTTTATGTCAGCGGTGGTATGAGCGTTCACTTACCTTCAAAAGCTAAAGGTGGTGTGCTGTAGGTCAAAGGCGATTTCATGCTCAAGTATTACTAGTGCTGTTATACATAAGAGGATGCTGATGTGAGATTTTATTAGTTACTAGTAGTAGTAAGTAGGAGGCAAGTTGTCAGAATCACGAAGGCCGAGGTAGAAATATATATTATCTGATCAAGTACTGTGAGTCGATTGCAGTCATTCCCACAGATGGTGAAACAATCCTGCGCAGTGATATCCAAGTGGGAATCCATGACTTCACCACACGAGCCTGCTACTGTCCGTTAACAGATGACTCCAATGTAGTGGCGAATGTATAACTACTCAATATCTCATGATTCCAGGCTCAACTTCTAGAAGATTTCTGGTTTCAGAATCTTTCTGCATCCCCGATCACATGATGGTGCCCCCACACCATCCCGGCAGGTCCTTCTCAATCCAGCCTAGTGTCAGGCCCTTCCGCAGGCACCGCCGGCTTGGCATAGAAGGCCATTGGTCGGGGACGGGCAGATGAAGCGGAGAGCCCCACTGGAAAGCCTCGCGAATTAGGTAATGAGATGTTCAACAGGTGTAACGTTGAACACACAAATTTGTTGTGATGCAAAGACTTTCATTCGGCCCGGCGGGTGACTCAGAAGACGGTCTTCTCGCCGGACTCGTTCATTTGTCACCGCAGTTCCTCTTGACATCTTCAGCCTGTCATTGTTGTTCAGTTTCTGCGCTAGGTTGATTGTTTGCCTGTTTGTGTCAATGTAGGAGCGGTAGGGCCGTTGACGTTGTACATCCCCAAGAAACTCTCTTCGTCGCCAGTTCTTTTTACCGTCTCCACTCCTCGTCCATTTCATTTCCCGCGGAGAGGAGAAGCAAGCTGGGATTTTCACCTTCCCGTCACCGCAGAGTCATGGCCCATCCAACTGGCGACAAGGTTGACTCCCATCTGAATGTTCAGACGGGCCAACTCTTTCAAGAGGGCCGAGAGGAACCCTATCTGCATGATGCAGAGGAGAAGCAGGACGACAAGAAGGACAGTCCCGTCTATAATGACACCTTTGGCGATGAAGAGTATGCCGAGGTTAAATATAAGGTCTTGAGCTGGTGGTATGTCTATTCAAACGTCCTATATCTGCTACCGAATAACTGACTTGAATGTGCCAGGCAATGTGGTTTCCGTAAGTGATTCTGATGCTAGCATCAGTCGACAGCTTGTCTTACTAACTTTGCCAGTCATGGTTGCGGAAACCGTGTCCCTTGGTATCCTGTCGCTGCCTGCTGTTGTCGCCACTCTGGGTCTTGCTCCGTATGTACTGAACCAGCAGCTGCTCGAAGTGATATCTTCCTCTAACTAGGTGTAGTGCTATTGTCCTCATTGTTGGCCTCGGGCTTCTGGCTACCTACACCGGTTACGTCATCGGTCAGTTCAGATGGCGCTATCCCCATGTCCAGAATCTGGCCGATGCCGGTGAGATCCTATTTGGGTCTATCGGTCGAGAGATCTTCGGTATCGGACAGCTGCTGCTCGTCATATTCATCATGGCGAGTCATCTGTTGACCTTCTCGGTCGCCATGAACACCATCACGGAACATGGAACTTGCTCCATCGTTTTTGGTGTTGTCGGTCTCGTGATCTGCTACCTCCTGGGTCTACCTAGGACGTCTGCGAATGTGTCCTATCTCTCTGTTGCTTGTAAGTTGCGAACAATGTCAGGTAGTCTCACGATACTAACTTGCACAGCTTTCATCAGTGTGTTCTCCGCCGTGATGATCGTTATGATTGCCGTCGGTGTGGAACGTCCTTACAAGGGAACCCTTGAAGCAACGGTGGATACCAGCTTGTATGAAGCATTCCTTGCTGTCTGCAACATTGTCTTCTCCTTCTGTGGGTCACTTTCTCTCCTGCATTAGCTACCCCTACTAACGTGCAATAGCGGGTCATGTCGCATTCTTCGGCTTCATGTCCGAATTGAAGGACCACCGGGAGTACCCCAAGGCCCTGTGTCTTCTCCAGGGTCTCGACACCATTCTCTACCTGGTCACTTCCGTGGTGATCTACATTTATGCGGGGCCTAATGTCACGTCCCCTGCACTAGGCTCCGCTAGTGAACTCGTGGGCAAGATTGCCTACGGAATCGCCCTCCCTACTGTACGTGCGGTGCTCATATTACCTGTGCTCTACTGACATGTGATTAGATCATCATCGGTGGCGTTGTGAATGGCCATGTCGCCTGTAAATATGTCTATGTCCGTATCTTCCGTCACGGAGACCGGATGCACAGCCGCGACCTCGTGGCAACTGGATCCTGGGTGGGCATCGCTTTGGGATTGTGGATCATTGCCTGGATTATTGCAGAGGCCATTCCTGTGTTCAATGATTTGCTGAGTTTGATTGTATGCTGCCAGCCTCTTCTACTAAAGTATCTTACTAACTGCGTTCCAGGCGTCCCTTTTCGCTAGTTGGTCTACATGTGAGCGCATTATTCCCTTTCATTCGTCGTCTTCACACTAACAGCAAATAGTCGGCTTCAGCGGCATGTTCTGGCTCTACCTCAACAAGGACCGACTGTTCTCTTCGCCTAAGAAGATTGCACTGACTATCTTGAACGTTATTATAATCGGCATTGCAGCTTGCATTGTGAGTATTCTTCCTGCTATTGTCATTTCACCTCTAATCACAGCACCAGTGCGGCCTTGGACTCTACGTCTCCGGTCGGTCCCTTCACGACGACGCCAACAGCAGCAGTTTCTCGTGTGCCAGTAATGCTTAGGGAGGAGGTATAGACCAGGTATATATTGCATATAGCGCCATATGTGTCATAATAGACTAGATGCATTCTGTACAGAGAAGCCTATGGAAAGAAATGTATAATATAACTGTATACTACATACCATTAATTTAGACCCTATCATGCCATCGTCTCCCTCACCACCTAGTAAGGAAATAAATCCCCGCAAAAACCCGATCCCCAGCTTGCCGCCCATCTCACCCGAAAATTTCCCTAAGCGTCAGTGCCAAGGCCCCGCCAAGGGCCCGCCAAGATCACCGCGGCGGCGCCATCTTGGCGGTCAGACATTTTGTGGACGCTCAGTCACTGGATCGCTTGTGACGGTCGGCTGAAAATTTCAGCAGCTGAAGTCAATGCGCAGTAAAAGGAAGAGAGCAAAAAGAGAGTAGCTGTAAGAAAGACAACTTGGTCGTGATATATCTGTTTACGGAGACAAAACTACCCGTAAGAGAAGATGCCATGTTATATCTCTTCGCTCTACCCGTCGAGGCTGTCACTTGTTTGAGAATATGCGGAGTCCCCGCATTCAAAGCAAGTGATCGTGGCACGTGCCCTGGACTGTTTATTGCCGCTCACTCACCTCACCCCACTCTCTCTTCCACAAAGCCACGATGATGATGATGGTGTTGGCTTGGTCAGGCCCCTGCTCAAAGACGCCACCGTCTACTGCTTGTCTATCTATCCACCAGAAGACTACAAAGAAGCTACCTAGGACACCACCACCAACAGAACTGCCAAAGCGCAGAACACTACTCGACGCGACAACGTCATCGGCGCCACGAGTGTCAATCCCCAAGAGTTCAACTGAATGAACGAATGAGTCATGGCGCTCTCCCGCCTAACTAAAGTAAGACACAACAGCACACCCAGTCGGCTAAGTTTCAAGCTGTCAGCCATGCACGAGCTAGATAAATTCTACCTGCACAGCATCCTAGTCTGTGCGAGCATGAGCATGAGCATTGGCGTTGGCAACAGCTGAGCTGCGATAAGCTAGAGCAAGTCGCGTATCAGAGTCCACAATGGCATGTTCCTGATACTCTTGTCATCGCATGGCACACGTGGAAAGGAAGATTACTATCGCTCTAGTAGCATGCAGGTTGGCTTCGGCTATGTTGACATTTCACGCGCACATACACACACGGTTGCGGCAACGGCGTCGCTGGGCGTAAAAGTAAGGAATAGGCAAGATCGACAAGGCTTCTTGGCTTGCGCGGTGCAACTTAACTTGGCCCCCCGACGGTGGTGGTAAAAAGTTACTAGAGTAGGTAGGTAGGGTTGCTTCATTTCGATGGTCAAAGTTTGGAATGGAAATCCGGCCAATTTCCAGCGAGTTGCGGGATTTGTTCTGACTGGTGGTGGTGCTGGTGGGCTTGGCAAGTGGCGTGAGGATTGGGGGTGGTGCTGACTGAATGACCAATTTTTTGAAAGTATGAGGGTAGAGAGTAATTGGTTTAATTAGTCTCGCTACGATGTGAGCGTCCTAAGTGTTTTTCCATGGTTGGTGTAGAGGTGCTGTTGGCGGAGGAGAGGCAGAGAGAGAGAGCGAGGAAGCAAGTGGGTGAGGGTTTCCGAGAGCACAAGTGTGGGTGGTGGGTGCCCTCCACCCAACTCGGTCTGTCTTGGTATCATTTCTTGTCGCAGCCTCATCAACCCGCGAGAATTCGGAATACCAGCCTGATTCAGAAATGAAAAGTTTCACAGTTTCACAGTCTGACAGACTTCTCGTCATGTCTTCGGCTGTCCTTCCTCTTCTTCCCCCAAACCTCCCATCCTGGCTGGAACCAAGATCTCGGCATTCATCTGCCCAGCCCTTGGCCGGGAGCCAAGGAGGGAACGCGGCCCTGAACCTTCCTCGATGCCTTCATTTCTCCCCGTTCATTCGTCTCCCCTGCCCTTGCCGAGATGAGCTGATTGGTGTGACCGAAAAGCTCTTCTTCCGATTATCCTGGTCGTTGAAGCAAGCAATGCAGCCCGACCTCCACCCCGCAGAGCTCACGGTTTTTCCGGGGTGCAGCCCTTAGCTATAAAGAGGTCGCGTCGCTTCCCGTTCAATCCCACCGTTGCTTGCGACCTGCATCAGTCCTGATCCAGCCAAAATAAGACATCTCACCATGTCTTCGGTGCCCACTTTCGCCGGCTTGTCCGGTCGGAAGCTGATCTGGTCTGTGACTTCCTGTGCGACCTTGGGTTTCTTGCTCTTTGGTTACGATCGTAAGGCTTTCCCTTTGCCTGGCGCTTTTAGCCTCGAGCTAACCTCGATTTAGAGGGTGTGATGAGCAGTATTATTGACGCCGATCCGTTCAACGACATTTTCACGGCTACGAGAGACAACTCCACCATTCAGGGTGTGGTCACTGCTATCTATGAATTGGGTAGGTACATCCCTTGTCTTTGGCTCACAACCAGACTCTAACCCTTCTAGGATGTCTTGCCGGTGCTGTCTTTATCCTCGCCTGCGGTGACTGGCTCGGCCGCAGATACTCCATCATGCTCGGTGCCACCATCATGATCATCGGTGTTATCATCCAGGTTACGTCTGTCAAGGGACACGTCCCTCTAGCTCAATTCTGTGTCGGACGTGTTATTACTGGTGTCGGAAACGGCATGAACACATCCACCATCCCTACATACCAGGCTGAATGTTCGAGAACCTCCAATCGTGGTCTGCTCATCTGTATCGAGGGTAGTACCATTGCTATTGGAACCCTGATCTCCTACTGGGTGGACTTCGGTGCCTCCTATGGTCCCGATGACCTCACCTGGCGTTTCCCCATCGCTTTCCAGATCTTCTTCGGTCTTCTCATCATCCTCGGACTCATGGTCCTGCCCGAGTCTCCCAGATGGCTGTTCACCCAGGAGCGCTACGAGGAAGGTGAGCGGGTCATTGCTGCCTTGCAGGGCAAGGAAATCAGCCACCACGAGGTCCAGCTGCAGAAGACCATCATTCTGGACTCTCTCAGAGCGTATGTTCCCTACCCTCAAATCATCCTCAGTCTAAGCTAACCTCACCAGTTCCGGCATGGCCACCAAGTCCACTCCTCTCTCCGCCGTCTTCACCGGCGGCAAGACCCAGCACTGCCGTCGCATGCTTCTGGGTTGCTCATCTCAATTCTTCCAGCAAATCGGTGGTTGCAATGCTGTCATCTACTACCTGCCCGTCCTGATGCAGCAATCCCTCCACCAGACCGAATTCATGGCCATGATTCTTGGTGGTGTCAACATGATTGTCTACTCGATCTTCGCCTGTTCATCCTGGTTCCTGATCCAAAAGGTCGGCCGTCGCAACCTCTTCCTGGTCGGCTCTTTCGGCCAAAGTGCCTCCATGGTGATCACCTTCGCCTGTTTGATCCCCGGCGGCCCCGAAGCCGCCAAGGGTGCTGCCGTCGGCTTGTTCACCTTCATCGCCACCTTCGGCGCTACTTGGCTCCCGCTTCCCTGGCTCTACCCGGCTGAGATCTCCCCGATCAAGACCCGTACCAAAGCCAACGCCATCTCCACCTGCACTAACTGGCTCTTTAACTTCCTCATTGTCATGGTCACCCCCATTATGATTCGCAACATCGGATGGGGCACGTACCTCTTCTTCGCGGTTATCAACGCCCTCTTCATCCCAGTCATCTACATCTTCTACCCCGAGACAAAGGGTAGATCCCTCGAAGAAATTGATTTGATTTTCGCCAAGGGATACCTTGAGAAGATGACCTATGTGCGTGCGGCCAAGGAGCTGCCATTCTTGACGGATGAGGAGGTCGAGCAGGTTGCTATTCAGTACGGATTCGGTCCAGCTGATCAGCCCGCTAGCGGCGATAGTGAGAGCACTGAGACTGGTGCTGGTAGGACGGAGGTTGAAGTGGAGAAGCGCAGCGAGTAAGAGGGGTTCAGTTGGATTAGATTAGAGTGTTTGCTCGATAGAGAGCTTGTTGTTTGAGGCGGTGATATCCAGATTGACATTGTATTACTCATTGGACAAGATACCATATACCAGATGGAGTTTGGCTCTGTCGATATTTATGGGACATTAATATAGGACTGCAATATACCTACACGATCTTTGACTATGCTACCGAATACCTATAGTACATACTCTGAACCGACCATCTCCAGAACCATCTACCCCAAGGCCCAAAATACCCTCATCATAGACTTGACATCCCTCCCCAGCACCTCAAGCCGCCTCTTCCTCTCCACCCACCTAGACATCTCATCGAACATCTCAACCCTAGTATCCCCATCCTCACCCCAAACCAACACCTCCTTATCACTAACCTTCTGTACCGCCCTGCCGACAATAAACCCAATCCAATGATCCTGAACCCTCCTCACCAACTCCATATGCTTCACCACGCCCTGCCCAGTAGACAAATCATCCAGCCCAACAAGCTGCTCATGGAATGCATCAAAGAGATAAATCAACTCCACCCCATGATGCGCACATCCCATCGTCGGTCCAGGAAATGGGTTCCCGAACTCAATATGGAAGTGTTGGATACTGTCTGCATCGCCAGATACATTGTGGCGCTGGGTCCTCAACGCATCTATCGTACGGTGGATGGATAAGTGAAAGACAGCGTCTGAGCGAAATCGTTCGAGGCCAGAGAGTAAGCTTCTCTGTGATGCGCCTTCGACTAGACCGTAGACTTGGAGAATTCTTGTGGCTGCTTCAGGAGTGGGATAGCTTTTCGTGAATGTTTCTTTGAGGGATGAGAAGGTGATGTTGCTTTCTTGGAAGTGACCAGCTGACTATACACCGTTAGCAAGGAACCGCACCCCATGGCTGAAGAAATAAAGGAAGATGAATAGTAGGGTCTAACGCACTAACCTCAGCCTCACACTCCCCAATCATAACCTCAACAGGATAACGCCGCCCACATCCACCATCCCTAAACTTAGCACCACCCTCAACCCCAGGTAACCTAACCACCTCCCACCCCATCCCCACCCCATCAACAACCGGCGGCATCACACAAACCCCATTCACCAGCGCACCCTCCAACAACTCCCTCGCCGGAATGCTCCTCATCCTTTCCACCCTCTCCAAACCCCCCATACCCTCATTAACCTCCCAATACTCACACAACTTCCTCCACCCCACCTCCGCATCTGCCAAACTACCCGGCGACACCGTCCCCCTGGCACCAGAGTGCATAATGACTCTCCGGAACAGCGGGGTTTTATGCGTATCTGCATCCAGTAGATGTGCATGCACATCATGAGAGCCGGATGAGTTCCCACCGAGAGTAATTTGATCAGCATCACCACCAAAATATTCTATGTTGGTAGAAATCCACGTCAACGCGATCTTCTGATCATAAGTAGCGAAGTTGAGGCCTTTGATATCAGTAGTAGGTGCTTGGGTATCCAGTATATCAGCTGATCCAAGTAATCCGAACACGCCAAGGCGGTAGGATATGGTTATTGCTATCATGGGCCGGCGAGATTCCACTGAGCGGAGGACGAGGCGGGTGGGGTCTTGATGTTATTATATTAGTAATTGTTATCTATCCATCCTGGGAGAAATGAATTCTAGTAGTTATTACGTACCTATTATAGGATCACTCCCCGCGCCAAATGCGCCCGCACCGCCATGTATCCAGACGAGAACCGGCAGTTTGATGGAGGGATCTATCCCGGCGCGTGATAGACCTGTTGCGCTAGGTCGGATGATGTTGAGGTTCAGACAGTCGAATTCTGATTCCGGTATGGGTTTGGGGAAGGGGATGTCTGCTTGGAAGTAGGCGCTGTTGTCGCCGCCGGGTGGTTGGGGGCATTTGGGTCTAATATTAGCGGATTAGTTTGTCAATGTGTTGAGAATGTTAGGTTGGATGTATTGGGGTATTGTCAAGTACCCGTTTGTTGTTGCATAGAACACATCGGATGGGAGGTGGGTGCGGAGTTTGGCGTGCTTCCATCGATGGGTTATTTCTCCGTACGGGATGCCGAGGAAGTTGTCTATGTTTGGGAAGAGAGGAGATGGTTTGCCGATGATAGTTTGGAAGTAGGTTGGGTTGGTTGTGGTTGGTATGTTTATGATGGGGGCTTGGTTGGGGGGTGGTGGTTTGTTCATGGTGGTGTCGTGGTTACTTGGAGGTCGCAGGGGAAAAGCTAGTAGCCCCTTATATGAGACTTTTAAGGAGAGGCAACTCTTCAATGAGGCTTGTTTTCTGATGGTGGATGGGCATGATATGATATGTGATAGGTAATGACAGCGACATTTATCCCTTTAGGTATGTATCCACAAAAAGACGGATACTCTCATGAACTCCCACAGCCCTATCTTGGATGCTATTTCAGTTTAATTATCACCTAATCATCAACTGAATGTGGGGAACGGCGAAAGTTAATCTTTCCTGGGCTACGGTAAGCTCCCCGCTTGTCTTGGACTCAATCTCCGCTTATTGGAGTCATGATCCAGGACACCTTCATTGGCGCTATGCTAGGAGTAACCGATGAGTCAAATATGTATGACTTCTTTTGATACTTCCTGCCAATCTAAAACTGTGATTGGTTGCTGATCAGTCACAGAAACGCCAATTAGCAAGATAGTGGATACAGTCGATGGCGTCCCGAGTGGCCCAGTTTGACTAACTTTCCCTTTTGGGACCCCGACATGGACCCAGCCCTCGCCGTCTCGAAAACACGGGTGCCTTCACCATAGTGAAGAAAACATAGCAGCATGATACCTTGCAGGACCCCGAAAAGAAAATTTCAACCATTAATTTAGCTCGTATCTGCGCGCTAGCCTACTAGCCGTCCCTCTCATTCAGATCAGCACATAGCTTTACCCTTTCGGGACCCCGACCTGAAAGGATCATTTATGCTTGGTATCTAACCGCACCATAAGGACGATCTATTTTTTAATCATGCTATCTGAATCTTCGAAGCTACCCAGACGGCAAATTAGCTTATTCAACTATCATCATTATCTATCAAGTCACTCAGTCTGCTGCAGAAAGGTTCGCTGGCACTACACGCTTAAGTCACAGCCCACATGCATTGCTAACCTATAGCGCAGTCTGACACCCGGCACAATGGAATCAGCTGCAACAATTCAATGTACCTCCCAGCAAACTCGATTCCATATCGAATCTCCTAACTATCGCGAGGTAAGAGCACTCGGCTGCAGCAATGAGCTACTCAATAGGCCTCATATGCTGACTATGTCCATGTCTCCAGCTCGACATAAAAGGACTACAAATTCTCGTTACATCTGGGGAGAAGAAGTCGGCCACGAAGGGGAAGTCAAAAGTGAGATCTAAAGACGGCCTCGAGATTTTATCCAACGCGGAATTATTATTAAAGGAAGGTCGGCGATATGCTCTCGTCGGTCGGAATGGGACCGGAAAGTCAAGTGAGACAGACCTGCCAGACAAGCCAATTCTAGTTGATGGCTGACCAATCTACGCGATGTGAAAACAGCCCTGCTGAGAAGTATAGCAGAGAAGCTCATTCCTGGAATACCAGAGAACACGAAAATTGCTATACTTCAGCAAACCAGACTGACGGATGGGGCCAAGGATCCCAAGCAAGAGGGTAGGGATAATACAGGTCTTAATGTCCTACAGACTGTGATAGAGAGGGCCACGTCTAGAACTACCATTGAACAAGAGATATCGAGTATGTTTATGCCTCAAGAGACTGTGTGCTAGCTAACGAATTAGCCCTGTCTCAGGGAATTGATACCTCAGATCCTTATGCTCCAGTTAGAGCCCTTCGGTCTCTGAAACACGAGCGCCTCCAAAAGCGCCTATTTATATTGGATAAAGATGCTCGACTACGCAGTGGTATGCGAGGCATGCAAGCCAGGAAAGCGCTTGTGGCCTTTGAGAAAGTTGTTGCTGAATCGAAGAGAATGTGCGTGGACAATTCTTTAGACATCGACCTTGATCAGCACTAGCCCTTCCGAACTGACAATTTACGCAGGGTAGAACAACCCAGCGAAGACATCTCAACCGACATACTCCAGCAAGAGACTCAAGATGCAGTAGATATGCTCGCACAGCTTCAGTCACAAATCGAACCCGCTCTCGTTGCAGAAACAGAGACTAGGGCGCGAAGTATCCTGACCGGATTAGGTTTCTCATCGGCAATGATGGCAAAGCCTATCTCCGACTTGTCGGGCGGCTGGCACATGCGAGCAGCTCTTGCAGCTACCCTTTTACAGGACGCCGATATACTGATCCTTGACGAACCTACAAACTTCCTCGACATGCTAGGCATTATCTGGCTGCAACGATACCTCATCTCAATTGGGGATAACCGCAAGCCACCTACCATGATTATCGTCTCCCACGATCGAGACTTCATCAGCCTCTGCACGGATCTGATCATTCTCAAAGACAAGCAGCTCACGTACTTCCACGGGGACCTTCCCACATACGAGATATCGCAATCCGAACGACGAAAATATCTCACGACGATGAAGGAAGCACAGGAAAAGCAAAAAGCCCACATCGAGAAGACGATCGCAGCCAATCTCAAAGCGGGCAAGGCAAATGACGATCAGAACAAGATCCGACAAGCAAAGTCACGTCAGAAGAAACTAGATAACCGGTGGGGCATGGAAGTCAGTGCTAGGGGCGGTAGGTTTAAGTTGAATCGCGACCTAGTTGGCTATCACTTTACAGCTCGAGAGGAGATCGACATACCCCCGGAAGAACGACCGGTTATTATAAATTTACCGGAGCCGCCTGATCTACGATTCCCAGGATCGCTCATAACCCTTGAAAAAGTCAGCTTTCGTTACGCGGCTACGTCTCCGATCGTCATCCGGGATGTCGACCTCTCGGTCGGTATGGGCGACCAAATTGGAATACTGGGGTTGAACGGGGCGGGCAAGTCAACACTTATTCAAACGTTAGTGGGAGAAACAAACCCGACACAAGGAACAAGGAATACACACCCTCGCCTACGCCTGGGATATTACTCCCAGCATGGAGTGGAGGCCCTGCAAGCCCTTGGTGCACAGGATGAAACACTCACATCGCTAGCACTATTGACCCAGGATGTTAATGGGGAATTGACAGAGGGTGAGATCCGCGGCCTCTTAAGTCAGCTGGGACTGCCTGGACGTCTAGCCTCAGATGTACCTATTCGCAAGCTGTCGGGCGGACAGCTGGTTCGCTGTGCACTGGCACGGTTGTTCTGGCGTCGTCCTCATTGCCTTGTTCTGGATGAGGTCACCACCCATTTGGACTATGAGACTGTTACGGCTTTGAGACGGGCGCTTAATGAGTGGGATGGGGCGGTTGTTGCTGTTAGTCATGATAGATGGTTTATGAGGGGGGCTGTGGAGGGGGGTATAGATGAAGGGCAGTCGGAGGATGAGGAGGATGATACTGTGGATGGGTTAGAGAATAGGAGGAGAGTCATGTACATGGTACGTGGTGGGGAGTTGAGTGTCCTGGGACGAGGTGTTGATGAGTTTGAGGAGTTGATAGAAAGGCGAGTGAGGAAGTTGATACACTAGCACCAAATTAGGATGTGCGGTGAAGGGGCTTTCGGGGTAGAAGAATTTAGCCTGATATTATTCGGCAGTATCTGGACAGATGAAACTCATGGTAATTTCAGAAGCTTTAGTCATTGTCCAATATACCATGTTGTTTGGGGGCTGCCTACCGCCGACCTTTCGTGACAGCTGGTACAGAAGCAACTAGTGACTATAGAAGCAATTCTTCCACTTCACAGCCAATGCCATCTTTCTGAATTCCGCCGCGGATAGAGCACGGTCAAAATACCTTGACATATAGGGCAAACAGTTGCCGTTACCGAGAATAGACAAAATGTAGCCTACAACTAAGAATCGGATGTCTTAGATATCCCTGTCTAGTGACGTCCATCTAATTTATGCCCCGGCCATCTCGGCTCTCATATACTGGCCTATATGCCGATGATTCTAGCATGGTCTGATCCGTACCCATTACGAAGTGCAGAAGTTCAGACCACAAGCCGTGGAGAGCCATAAGCCGCGGAAAATGGTCACCCGTGGGAAGCCACAAACCGTGGAATTAGTCAATTCAGTGTTGCAAGCCCTGTCCAGTGCAGAAAATCGACTTCCCAAACCGGACGTTATGGTCCCCAAACCAGACATCGGCAAGCGATGCTACCTCTTCAGAGAGTTCGCCGCCTGGGACTGCGAAGAGCAATCTTAGCTTAGGGCGCCTGAATGGTCCGGGGCAGGTTTCGGCTTATACTATTTAGACAGGGGTCTGTTCCTCCTACGCGGTTCAGGAATTGCCTGGCCCACTGTCAAGATTGAATCTGCCGGATGCGCTAGCTAATTGAGCGGGATCGGTTAGCAATTTAACCTAGCACGCCTCGGATCTGTTAATGATCATCGCCCTACGGATTGATTGCCTTTCAAGGAAAGGACTGGCTCAGGAATTAAGCAACACCAAATAGGTTTGATTGGATTAGATATACACTAGCTGTGCCTTTCCCGGCTGAAAAGGAGTCCCGATCTTGAATGGGTTTTCCAATAAGACTGGGTGGATTGTCTAGCTCTTACACGACCGACGTTCTAGAACGAAGAACCAAGCTATTATTTCCCGGGATGGGGTCTATTTACCCAGGCTGCGCCTAAAGCCTTCTCATAGAGGCTTAGTTGACACTAGCGGTCCAGTTGTCAACCGTGAAGGTTGCCGGGCCACCGGTGAACGGCTCAGTTCCAAATTGCAGGGCTAGTGATCATTTCTGTTAGTGACCGTTTCAATGCGGCGCTCGGTAGTAGAATTAGGGAAACTCACTGATCAAATGCTGAGAGCTAGCCGGGAAGCCTTGGTTCTGGGTGAGATAGTTGAAGAAGTCCTTGATGTCCCCACTGTACGAGTTGATAGGAGATCCTGCCACGAAGCTATATGTCTTCTGCTCCGCACCGGCCTGGACGCTGGTACCATACCACACCTCCCAGGACTTGCCTCCCACAGTGGCAGTGGCAATCTGCTTGCCAATAGGCTGGACTGTGCCGTAGCGGGCAAGCCTGGTGACGTTAGCCTCCTCCATCTATCTTGTTCGCGACGTCACATACCAAATCATAAGCTCATAGTCACCGCTGGAAGTGGCATGATCCGCATTTGCCGCGGTGAACAGATCATATGAGACATCGGCTTGGACATTGGTGTCGTCCTGGCTCCATTTCACCGAGGTGGGAATGCTTGACACATCGCTGACTAGCTTCTTGTCAAACGTAAGACCGGAGTTAGAGTAACTTTTCACTGTTCCCTCGCCACCACTCCAGGTCCACTTGGTATGCCATGAGGCACCACTGCTGCTGAGCTTGTCGACGTAGACACACTGGCTGCCAGTGCCCTGGTATTCGCCCCAGAGGTTCTGGTTCACCGAGTATGGGGGGCTCGAGGCACTGTCATACTGAGAGCACATCGTCTGGCCCATGGCGGTGGCCGCAAGCATAGAAAGTGTCACAGCGAGCTTCATGTTGGGCAATAGAGCAGAGAAACGGTAAGCGAGAAGTTCTCAAAAAGGAAAAGAGGGTGGTTGTTTGGAATAAGACACGAATACGGACGGGGCGGCAGACGACGCAGTTTAAATAGATCAAATCTGGTCAATGATGCTTACTATTGACACTGATCTTGTCCGACTTTCCGTGTCCAATGCGGCATTTCACCAAGAAGTAAGCCAGTTAGCTATAGCGGGTGCGCCGTCATTAACGCCAACCTGCAACATTGACATGTACATCCTCCGTTTCAAAATGAGACCCTGCTTCGGAGCACTTTCCGCTTCAAGTTAGCGGTGGTCTGTAGCAGTCAGCAACCAAGCATTGTGGAGAACGGGATCTCCAGGAATAAATTAAAGGGTCCTGCCTGTGCTGACGATATCCATTACGAACATAGCCCAATTGGATCTAGACAAGAGAAGGTTGGTTGGCGATCGGTCAATTATCGGAGAATATCAACAGAGCTGAGGGGTCATGTTGAATTCATTGAGTATATAACTCATCTGTTTATCATACTACTTGGTTTAAGTCTCCAGGGGCCATGGAACCATATCAATTGGGGATCATGGTATTTTCTTCCATGTAGTACCTGCATGTTGCCGTTTAGAATCATTTCTCTGATGGCCCCATTCTTTCATATTCAGTGTCTTGTCTTGTTTGCGATACTTCCTTCCTCCCGGTCCTTTCTCGCCCACAGATCTATATTCAAACATTAATCTCTTATCCAGATTTTCTCCTGCCTCCAGGGTCTTCTGCCCGGAGATTTCGGTTGCCTGTAGTTATCCATTATCCACAGTCTACGACTTTGAGCGAGTAATTTGCTTAGAATTAATCTCAGTGAAACGGAACAGCTAGCCAAAAGAAAGCAATTGTCTAGACCCTTCCCGTCTCGACCTCCACTGCATACCTACCAAACCCCCGATATCCTGGTTAGGTTGAAACCTAGCGAAATGCCTCAATTTAGGCACCTGCAACCGAAAGGCTGCATTGAATTTGAATACCGACTAGTAGACAATATGAGATTGAGGGAACTTGGGAGGGGGTCGAACGAATGATATTTTCATGATGCTGCCAGCCCTCAATGGAACGAACATGGAGGAGAAGGAGGTAATGTTGTCTTGGGCTTAGTAGTAGGTCTATAAATAGGTATGATGACATGGGCCTGTTGGGGCTATGATGGGGGCCGATGGGGCCGAGGTCTGTTGGTCTATCCCTTTTTCCTAGCATACTGTTGTTTCTGGGATGGACAGGCGATCTGCTGGGAAGGTAGGAGGGTCTGTCATGGATCATATGGCGTTCGTAGCAAAGGTCCGGGATTATTGGATTGGATTTTTGGGGGTACTTGTGCTCAAGATTCGTGATAAGGTGGTTTGAGGTGAGGATAGGGCTACTAGGGCTACCACATTGGCCAAGACACGCACTGGGTGGAGAGGAGGAGCAGCTTCGGGTGCTTGGAAAGAACATCAGATCCATAGCTTGTTCGGGACTTTTGGCTAAATGGTATGGCGACAATGGATTCGCCGGCTTGGCCAGTCTAAGCAGCCTACTTTAGCTCATATTCATGCTGTGACATTTATCCGTTCCTAGTAGTCCCAAGCTTCCAAATAACGTCCACATGCCCTCCTTCAAGCAAACGGCCCGTGAAACTCCAACAAGACTGCCGGGAACCGACGGTCCACACTGGCCCAAGCCTCCTCAACCAAAAGCCCTTCCGAAATTTTGACTATACCAGTGACAGCGACACACAGCCTAAGTGCGCTAATTCGCACCACTCCTATCCAGTCGTGCATCTCTTTGCAGTATTGTATTTTACAAAGCGGGATTTTCTACCAGTTGTCATGATTTAGTCTATCATCAACTTGCATGCATTCATCCGAGGTTCACTCACCTTATTTTTGATAATCGTCAATAAGTGACCGAAAATCGGCTTTAATGCGGCGGTGCTGAGAGTCACCCTTGTGCTGTCAAGGGTGTCCAGGTAATCCAAGGCGAGCGCTTGGGCTGTTGAGGCGTCGCCTGTGGCGGTAATGGCTCGGGTCTGGGCGCGGATCGAAGGGATGCTATTCTTGTCTAATTCGACTGTAGAGAGTGTCTTTTGAAGAACAATAGCTTGCTCGCTGAGACGCTGGAGGAGTGAGATGAGGTTACTAACTCCACTCTCTGGATTGGGAATGCCGGGCGGTGGTGCAGAGGGTTGTGCAGGTACGGTAGCAGCAATGCTTGGGGATGAAGTGATGCTGGTAGTCACACAGTCTACATTGACATCAGAAGTGGGCTGACCGAAGAAAGGTGAGACAAGGCTAAGAAACGCTGAGATTGTGAGTATCAGTTTCATTTTGATATATGAGTAGCAAGTGGGCCCAGGTTGGGTGGCATAAGACAAGACTGAGAATATGGTGGCTCCGCCTTGACTATTATATATGACTAGATTATAAACAGGGTCGCATGTAGCTTGTGCATGAAATACACTGCATTTGTGCTACTATGATATATCTACGGCAATAACTGGACGGACTGGAAAGCTGTCATCGTCCATAATCGAAATTGCCTCGGCTTCCCGAATATCGAGTCGTATGCATCATGCATAACACCTCGTATATCGATAGAATCTGGGATCTAATCTTGTGTTTTGCAGACATATAATGTTATGGAAAGACCTGATTATTCGACTAAGAATAATAGAGGTGCATATGTGAGCCTGGTCATATACTAAATCACTGTTAGGGTTATAGCGCGGTCATGTGTAACCGGGAGAGAATAACGCCGCAGAATAGTACCATGTGGCTAGTACAGTCGACAGAAAGGATGCCCACCCATACCCACGCCCTTCCTGATTGAAGTAGCTCACATGAAGTGGGCTCTCTTCAATGACTGTATTAAGCAAGCGTAAAAGTAACATATGCATCAAGGATAGTAGTGATCTTTATTTGCTACAGACCTTTATAAGTGTATGATTATTGGCTCATGGATATTTTGCAAACTGGCATTTTGTTATACTCGGTTTCTGGGACCATCCCAGAGATTGACACCCAAACCATTCATTCATCAGTCTCGGCAGGTAAGTATCAGGTACTGCGTATGCTCCCAGGCCATTGGCAAGTGCAAAGATCCCCAAACTCATACCGTAATTGGACAATCCTAGCGTTGCGCACTAGTAGCGTCTTATCAAAGCACACGGCACTACTGCACCTCGACGCCAATCATGCATCGTCAACCCCATATCGCGGCCGCTGCTTGATAAGAAATGCGGAGAAGTCCAGATAAGAGGGTGAAGGCATCTGCCTCCCCTCTTTTCCCTCCCCATCCATCCGAAAATGCCTTCATCCTCGAGTACAGCCCGTGCAAGCACTTCCTGCCGTCGCTGCCACCGACGGAAGAAGCGCTGCGACCGTACACTTCCACAATGTGAGACCTGTATCCATGCTCAGGTAGAATGCAGTTTTCTCGATGATGATCGACAAGTCGGCACGTATCCAATTGCGTAAGTCTGCCAGCATTAATCCGAGTTCACCCGCTAATAGTAGGGGTCGAAGATACGTACAGGGACTAGAGACTCGCGTTAAGGAGCTTGAGAAGCAGCTTTCCGTGGCCTTAGTATCGTCGCCATACCCTAACCTCCAACCCGACCATGACTTCGACCAGCCAATAATCAACTTCGCGACACCTCCGGATACAGACATGAGCGACACCTTCCCCTTTGCGACTCCCCCATCTCACAGCCGATCGGACTTTCTGGTCGATGAGCTCAAACGACTATCCCTAGAAGCTGCAGCAGAACGACATCTTGGTTCCTCATCAGGACTATCTTTCGCCAAGCTAACTCAGGCAGTCTTACGACGGCTATCCCCCGACAAAGCCGAGTTTGTATTCGACGACACTCCTGATGAGTCTACAGAGCAATACGATGGACCTCTCTCAGAATCTCTACTCGACGCGTCAACTTCGCTCTGGGAATTGAACAACTCCTTCTCATCGCCATGTCTATTCAACCAACTCCCTCTGTCACACGTCATGGAAGACGAGACAACGCTAGCTGATCTGCAGTTCCCAGACAGGGCACATATCGAATACCTAATGGAGTTTTACTTTGCACATTCCCACACTCTGTACCCTATCATCCGTCAAACCGAGTTCGCATCCGTCATATGGCGAGTATACAACAACCCGCAGGACCATCTAGCAGGGTCCGCGCTGTGGATGTTCCGCATCTGGATGGTTCTAGCCATCGGATCGACGACGCACTGTTCTGTGACGTTAGGGGACGAGTCAGAGTCTGTACTGTACTACAACAAGGCGATGGTATACTTCGAGGACGCGCTTGGCTTGGGCGATATGGTATGTCATGTTCCTCCTCCAGTGACAAAGTCCATTGATTGACCAGTCAGGCTGCGCTAGAAGTTATGATGCTGCAAGTCTCATACTCCTTCTTCAACCAAGTCGGTCCAAGTACGTTCACCCTCAACCTGATCTATATTCCACTAACAAAATTCAAGATACATTCTTCCTTGTCGGGGTCGCCGCCCGCATGGCCATCGGTATAGGCCTACACAGCTCCTCAAGCTACGCCAATCTCCCATCTGATGTGATCGAATATCGCAAGCGGATATTCTTCTCTCTATACATGATGGATAGGTATCCCTCCCCTATCCCCACACCTTGTCCCATATCCACTAACGAAGAATAACAGAGTAGTATCCATAGCCTTAGGCCGCCCCTTCGCCATCCACGACAACGACATTGACATCGAAGTAACTCCCACTTCTCCACCGCACCCCAAACACATAGTCTCCATCTTTAACTAACCAACAATCTACAGCCCTTCGCCGACACCACCACAACAGACGACCCAACCCACACAACCGACCTCTCCATACCCCTCCACATCCTCTCCCTCCGCCGCATCGCCAGCGAGATCACTACCGCCCTGCACTCCCCAACCAACACACCCAATCAAGACCGGAATAAAACCCTCCAAGCCCTACACAAGAAACTCCTCCACTGGCGCCGAACCATGCCCTTTCCACTCCCACCCACGCCATCCCCTATCCCACACCTCACCAGCGCGTGGTTCGATCTGAACTACTACACGCACATGACGATGCTATACCGACCCTCTCCTCTATTCCCCTCTCTGGACGAACAGAAAGTGAAAGTGTTAGCGACAGCCGCTGCCATGGCGATCCGGCAGGCGATGAATTTGCATCGGCAGGGCCGGTTCGCGTATAACTGGTTAAATCTGCTAGGGGTATTCCAGAGCGCCGTGGCGCTGATGTATGCTACGCTAGCGAGGCCGGATGAGTTGGGGGTTGTGGTTAGGGAGAGTAAAGTGGTGGAGGATTTGGGGCTGGTCGCAGAGCTGTTGAGGGTTTTTGGGAGGAAGTTTGGGGTTGCGCGGAGGTTGGAGAGGATTGTAGGGGTTGTGGTGGGGAGATTAGAGGGGTATTGTTCTGGTGGATAGCAGTTACTGGTACTAAAGGAATGCTTTTATGACAAGGTAGTGAGGAGGATAATTAGTTCTTGATTTAGTACTATGTATCAAATTCAAACATTGCCAATTTAGTAGTCAGGTAGCTGGACAGTCGATATGAGAAACAATGATGACGTCGAACATGGATAAGTGTCACGATAAAATCTCCCAGAAAAGCCAGGCATGCCTCAGGAAATGCGACCAGTCTCATAAACATAGCTTTCGGTAGTCATTTCTCTGCCTTTGACTAGACTTAGAGCAACCACCGTGATGGGACCTCCTCGAATGAGAGAATGCAGCGGTCCACCCGGTGCAACCAGCTCAGCTTGAAGGATTCCGGCCATAACGACAATAGGAAGGCATGGTTTCACTCTGTGGATGTGGTTGACATAACGCGTGATAACTTCAGCACTATCCGCGACAGCTTCCACAAGCACAACAGTGTGTATTTCCCGTAGATGGTCATCATCGATGTATTCTGGGTAAACTGTCCGCAGGGTGCAAGCTTTCTGAAAGACATCCCGAATTCCAGCGGCCATCTGGTGACTACCTCCCTCTAGGGGAATAGTGAGCATGCCGCTTTCACGGACAAGTTGATAGCCAGTGGCTTTGGGCTCCTCGGAGACATCAATAGCAGCCTCCTCAACGCCTCCTAGCTCGCTTATGTATTCACTGGCAAGATACCATCCAACTTCATGATAGACCTTTTCCTCCAAACGCTGATCGGGGAAGTATATCGTTCTCAGCATCTTGGTATGCAGCAACTTTGCTACACCTTTGTGGGTCGCGTGGGCAAGGGTAAATTGATGTTGAATGATTTGATCCAAAAAGGCTGGCTCCTCGAGATCCTTCAGATGAAGGGTGGTTGAGTCTATGCAATCCTTAGAACCCTTCAATTTCGAAGCCACATCGGATAACCATACTTCATTATAGAAGCGATTATCTGGGCGGCGAAGGATGATCGAATAATGTGCTCGATGAAGCATGTGCTCAGGCGAACCGTGTCCTCCAAAGGCCCATACCTGCAAGTTATGGACTGTCCTGAGACGTTCGATCAATCTCTCTTTAGCCGTAGGGGTGACGATATAACCGTTGGAGAGTGGGCCCGAGCCAATGACCTTGACAGATTGCGAGAGACCCTCTTGCGCCAGAACCCTTTCCCACAGCAAGCGTAGTCTGGAAGTCACCAGGATGATGCGAAGGCGCGGACACTTCGAGACACGATGCAGAAAGCTTCTGATTTCGGGATAGAGAGCAACTACAGACGCAGCCTTTCCGCAGGCCTCGTCAAATCGGCCGTCGGCCACAGCTTGCTCGTACGCTAAGCTTGATTGACGGCATTCCGAGTAATCTTCATTAAAGCCACACCACGGGTGTCTCATCGGCAAGGCACGGGGTCTCTTGTCATTACTCTCGCCAAAATAGAACATTTCCCAGAAGGCCTGCTCTTCATATTTGGGTGCGAAGACTCCATCGCAGTCCATGACTAGGACCCTCTCCACCTGCCCTTGCCAAGGAGCTACAACTTCGTCAATACACTGATCCACAATGTCTTGATTGTGTTCTTCATTTCGATCAAGCTGAAAGGTGTGAATGAGGGTGATAATCTTCTGAAGGTCATGCGGATCCACCATGGTGAACATGATCTTCTGGTCGAAACACGTGTCTTTCAGCCCAATGATTTCTTCATCGGCCCATTTACGAAAGTAATCAAGAGAACACCAGGTAAGATGATTCTTTTCAGCGTCCTCCATACAACGCTGATGGGCTACCTCGACAGGGGTGTTCACATACATGATATGCGTAAATGGCCTATTGAGGGTACCATCATCCAGAAGTGTCGTGTATGGATGGTCGCCGAAGTCGTCCGGTTGCATGTAATTAGCTGTGGCGATCCCTGTGACCCCAGCGTCATCACATTCATGTCTGATGGATTCAAAGGCGCTATCATAGGCAAACCAGTTAACAGGGCAGGCTTTTTTGACCTCTTCGTACTCATAGAACGAAAAAGGGGCCCCCTTAAGTTCCCTTCGGAGCTGATTCAGAAGATGGGTCTTTCCAGATCCGGGAAGGCCAAAGATGCCTATCATATTTTGTCTGGGTGGACCGGATGGATTCAAGTTGTTGCTTATGAATCTTCCCGACATGATGTAGTGATATTGCAGTAATCGGAAGAGTATGGGTTATAAGAAGTCTGGTTATGCAGAAAAAACAGGGGCTTGTCAAAGCAGTATGTATCGATGGTCTGGGAAGAAAAAAAGAGTATGAAAAATGCTCCACGGGTCAGCGATGAGTCTATAGAGGAAGTGACATCCAAGGTACAAGGACTACATACTTATATCAAGACAAGAGCAACCATGGGGATCACAAAAGCATGTAAATAAAGCATGAAGTCCGTTGCTAGAGCTTGAATCGAGGAAGCCCCAACTGTGTTACATGCTTGCTATTCTGCCATATCGGTGAGCACCGTACGATCTTTTGACTGTTATGCCATGGTTTGTATATCTGAAGTTCTCCATGTCAAAGACTGTTTCATATAGGTGTAAGTTAGCGGTGCCAATCATTCTTGATCACTGATAGGTCCCTTCAATTACAATTGAAATAAGCACGGCCCCATCGGAAACTCCCGTATATGACATTAATAAAAGGGCTCTGCCCATATCTGCTACAATAGCTGCGCGGGTAATCCCACACATTTGAAAGCAACTCTTTATTCTTGGCAATTCGACAAACATCGGAACGAACAAACAACAAAGCAGCCTGAAATCGGGGGCAACCGAATAATTTATATCATTATCACCAAAAATATACACCCAAAGTGAGGCAAATCAAAATAATTGGTCCACAATCAGCACCATGAGTTGTCCTCAGTGCTTAGTGATAAAGGGCCGTTTCAATTCGTTCTAACCACCCCACTTGAATGCGTCAACGTGGACAGCTCCACAAAATCACTTATCATGATCGTAAATACACCCAAACCCCAATTCAAGTCAATACTAAACCACGGAAACACCCATCACTACTACCACTGATCCCGTCTACAACCGAGAAAGAAAAGACCAAAAATGGTCTTCAAATCCCTCCCCAACCTCCTCACAACCCTAACAACCATCTCCAAAACCACCCACGACCTGCTCTCCACCATACTGATCGCCCAAGACTCCCACGGCGACAACCCCCTCTACGCCAGCACGGCCCTCACCCTGGCCAGCAGCTTCGCACCGCCCGCCCTCGCCGCAATCACCATCCACCAAGCCCTTGAAACCAACACCCAACTGCGCCAAATCTCCTCCCACCTGGGCACCATCTCCGACACTCTCGCCCGCGACAATGCACTGCGCGTCGCATCCGAATTCCCCACCCTCGTGTACAACATGCTCCAACACAAAATCAAATCCGAGCCGTCCTCAATATGGTACCTCGTTTACCACCCGGACACGATCTGGCGACATCATTTCGAGGATTTGGTTCTGAATCGCGGCGTGCTGGGAGAGAGATTCATTGGGATATTTGGGAGTTTGGATGCGGTGGTTATTTATATGCAGGCTATGAGGAGGGCAGGTGTGGGGAGAGGAGACGGGGAAGGGGAGGTGCATTTCAGGTTACTTGTTCCGGCGTACTATCCCATTACGGTGGAGACGCCGATCAAGTTTCCGGTGGAGAGCATTGAGCCGTTCGATGTTTATTGTGATGTGCATAATGGGGTGCCGTTGGTAAGAATGTTTCTTCCGGGGGTGAGGGAGGGCGAGTTGGGGAATGTGGGGTTGTGGAAGCCGCAGAGGGGGTTTTGGGAACAATGTAAGTTGTCCTATTCCGGAGCCGTTGATTTGAGGTGCTGATGGGGGTAATAGTGTTTGGAATAGGGACTGGACAGGATGAGAATCCCAGGTTGTTGGGGATGCAGGTATTGCATGATGGGGAGATTGGGAAGACGGACGGATTGGTGATTCATGATCAGTCCGTCGATGAGCCAATACGACAACCTGGCGAGCAGGTACAAGTGCAAGAGAAGATGCGTGATGTGCTGGCAGAAGATCCAGTGAGTGGTGACGAGTACATATATGAGGAAGCCGTTGGTCGAGAAACAGATGATGAGTTGGAGCGCGCCTCGACAGTCGCATCAGCTGGAGAGACTGAACAGCATACTATCCGACATCATTCGCGTCGACATAAGAGTCGGCACAGCACTGCATCCCAGGCTGGATCCGTGGCTGGCAGTGACTTCTACTCGGTTTATTCGTGGACCTCTGGTCAGAGCTCCCGTAGCTCAGGGAGGAGACACAAGCGTCGACATGACAGTCGGAATGGGAGTGATCGAAGTAGTCGCCGATGAGTTGCAGCCTGCGAAGAGATGAAGTGTCAAGAGCACGTCTAAAAGATACATACTTGCAGACATACTACCAGCTACAGATCTGGCAACGATCGTACTATGGGGTTGCACACTCTCATTACTCGAACCGTCCTGAGAATAACATGTCATTTCCATCAATCAGGCTAATCTCATATTACATGCAATGTCGCCGTTAATTAGGTATATAGCCACTACCACTCCAACGCAATCGTCTTCGCCTTAGGTCCACCACACTCATACAGCGCCAACAACCGTCTGTCATCGAGAGTGAAGATACCCGGCCAGTGACTCGAATCCCGACACACTGTCGTGGGCCTCGTCCACATAATCCTCCCTTCATGGGGCATGGACCCAAAGACGACCTTGACACAAGCATTCTTGGTCCAGTTCACCTCATCGAAATCCTCATCGCACATGAAGATAACTGCCAACGACCCATCACCCAGACTAGCAATCTGCGGGGCTCCAGCATTGTGTCCCTGCGGGGGCACATACACTTGCTGCCTGCCACCCCACGTCTCGCCATCATCATAACTAACCAGCGCCTCAACATCAAATGTGCCATATGTGGTCGTTTCAAAGACCATAACCAACGCCTCGCAATTCCTCGCCTGATCCCACGTCCTCGCAATACCATTCATACCATCTCTGCGCTGATCCTCCGCCCCGTGCAGACACTGCGGTGCCGACCACGAGGAACCCCCATCATACGACCTCACCAGCATGGTGCACTGGTTGTTATGCGCAAACTCCTGCGAATACGTAAGCTGGATCTCTCCCGGCCGACGACCCAGTCTCATAAACGGTTCCCAGATACCCAAGGGGGCGGGCTTCTCTGCGGCCTGGGAGGCGAAGGACCAGCTGCGCCCGGCGTCTGTGGAACGGCAAACAGTGATGCGGAAGTGTGTAGGGCCACCAGGGCCAATATCGTGATTACGGAAGGCCGCGAGGACAGTTCCAGGTCCGATCTCGAGAAGGTACACGTTGTCAACGTCGCCCTTGCCGCGGGTGATCTCGCCGTGGTCGGTGAAAGTTTGGCCGTTGTCCTCGCTGATGGAGACCATTAGGACACGCTCACCGCCGCCGACGAATCGTGTGAATGAGGCAAGAATGCGACCGTCGTGAAGGCGTGCGAGGCGTGGGTAGGTGCCTGCGGGGTGGGGCGAGAGGAGGCGCTCGTCATTGTGGATGACGCGGTTGCCGGCGAGACGGTTGTCGCCCGGTGGGGGCGGTTGTTGGTAGGGTTGGCCTTGGCCATGGCCGTGGTGACCGTGATGGTCGATGCCGAGGGTGTTGAGGATTTTCTGGCCGAAGTGTCCAGGCATGATGAGAGTAGTAGGGAGAATGAAAGACGGATAAAGTTAGAGTGGGAGGTGTTTAGACCCTGGGACCCTGAGAAGCTGACAGGCGGGGTATTTATTTGGAAATGGAGTCAAAGTGGGGAGTGGCTGAGGCCCGAGATGACGTCATCAGGGGGATCAGCGGTGAAACACGGTTGCCTGACCTGATGCTATAATTATGATGATGTTCACTCAGCTGGTTAGCCATGTTGGTGAATGTTGGAGTGATGGGCGGTTGAATGGTGGTCGGTGATGTGATACGGTGGGGTGAATTGCGAACAAGGCATATGGAGGCGGCATGTAGGGCTGATCCGCACCTGTCATGGCCCTGTTTCGCGGGGAAGAATTAAGTGTCGGTACCTTGATTGGGTGAGAAGCTTTGTTTTGATAGTAGTTTCTGGCTATGGAGTACGTAATTCCCGTTCGATTAGTGTAACTACTACCCCTTGATTATGGGCTGTGAAAGCCAATAATGCTTCTTGATCCCTCGGTATCTAGCCAGAACGAATAACACCCCCTGTGAAGGCAATGTTTATCAAACAGCCTCAGCGCTACCACGTCTTGGCTAACCATCAGTATCTTGGTACCAGCATCTCCACACTACCCCTACTGAAATGTTCAATGCCCAGAGCGTATGCATTTCCAGACGGCGAGCACTTTCATCCACTATATTTACACCATGGTGCACAAGGAAACTTGTCATATCGTTGCCGTCACGCCTTCATCTGTCTAGCAGATCATCTACATACGATAACTTCTTCAGAAACACGTCCCGAAGATGGATGTAAGCCTAACCTACCTCTATTGCCCATAAGCTACTAAAATATATAAGAATGAACGAGGACGAGCGGCTGAAAGAGAGGTATGTGAAATTTAACCCGATCGAGCTTCAGCGCGTTGCTGGGAAAGCAATGGGAGAAAACCATTGTTCCCATATTTTCAAACTCGCAGAAGGTGGCTTCAACAAAGTCTTCCTATTAAGAACAAATTCCGGTAAAGAAGTCATAGCACGCATTCCCACTCCCATTGCCGGCCCACCCCACTACACCACCGCCAGCGAGGTTGCTACGATGGCATTCTTGCGAGATATTCTAGGAGTTCCGGTCCCAAGAGTACTGGCGTATTCGGCAGATTCGGCCAATCCAGTTGGATCAGAATATATAATAATGGAGCGGGTAGAAGGCGTGAGCGTTGCATCAAGATGGTTATCTCTCACTACAGCGGATGTGGCTAGTTTGATGAAACAAATAGCGGAAATTGAAGCGAAGATTTTCGCATATCAATTCCCAGGGTACGGAAGTCTATATCGCAAAAGAGATCTGGAACGGGGACCAAAGATACCACTTTCGATAGAGGACTTCTGCATTGGTCCTATTGCTGCGCGGCAGTTCTGGCATGGTGATCGAAGTAATACCAAGATTGATCGCGGTCCTTGTTAGTGTTTCCCTGAAGTTATTGTTATGAAGCTAACCTTTGCAAAGGGCTCTCGCCCGAAGACTGCTTTACATCTGCTGCTCGGCGAGAGACTACTTGCATACTGCAGTATGCGAAGCCTCAACCTCGAAGAACCTTTCTCCTTCCTACCAGTTTCGATATCGACCCTTCGGAGCATACCTCGCTTCTTTCAAGATTCCTGCAACTTGCCACTCTTTTGATACCAAAAGACACAGTTCATAATGCTCCCATTCTACGACATCCTGACTTGACTCTGAATAATATTTTACTGGAGCCTGGCTCCGCAAAGATTGCAAGCATTATAGACTGGCAAGATAGCATCACCTTCCCACTGTTCATGCAAGCAGGCTACCCAGCCTTTTGTGAGCATGATTCGTCGAAGGCTCAAACCTTACAGGCTCCATCTCTCCCAGATAACTTTTACGATATGAGCAACGAGGAACAGATGGAAGCAAAAGCTGAATTTCGCTCGGAGGAAGCAAACCTCTACTACACATCAGCTACTGGGTTGTATAATGGTAACCACTGGAGCGCTTTGAAGATCCCGCACCTTGGCATGCGACAATATCTACATCAACAAACAGGATATCCCTGGGATGGAGATGTCATCAATCTTCGTGCTGCTCTTGTTGGTATCACAACTCCGCAGGTTTGGAACGCGATTACGTCAGAACGCTGTCCGGTGGGATTTTCTGATCAAGAACAACACACAGCAATGGAGGAATCAAAAGAGTGGAATGAGTCCGAAGAACTCCTGTATATTATCAGGAACGACATAGGTATTGACCCCGAAGGTGGTACAGAACCCGCAAACTTTGAGCAGGCGTCTCGGAGAAATCTGGAATATCGATTGGAAATGGTACGGCAGGCCGAGGAGGATGAGCGTGATATTTGCTGGCGGAATTGGCCTTTCAAAGATGATACAGATTTCCCCTCTTCGTCTTAAGTGTGAACTATATTTCAGTACGAAGGTAAAGTCGCCTCTTGGCTACCATCTGTGTTTCATTACGCATTGCTTCATTACGAATGCTCCTGTCTAGTAAGGCAACGAGAGTGCACCCATCGGGGTTGGTCAAATTGGTCGACGTGTCTGTGAATCTATGAGCACATGTCACAATCATGGGCCTGAATTCTCTCGGCAGACTGCTGGAATCCTCGTTATTTGGTTCTGATCCTTGTCACAATTGACAAAGCAGACTCTATATTCAACGCCCCAGAATTAACTAATCTATAGGCTCCGAGGCTCAAAGCCACCAACTAGTTCATATAAATACTACCATTGTGAGTTCTCCGTGGATTCCTATACATGTCTACTAGGTTCTTTCTACACAGAATTTCCCATCAGAACCTCCACGTATGTATTTTTTCCTGGCAGGAGAAGGTCCATTCGGTATAGTTACTGACACCACAACACAGACTACGCATTATATATCAGACAACAATGTGCCAAAAAGAGCTTCCCAACGTGTATACTGGGAGCTGCGGGCACAGGATGCCCGAAGGCGAGGAAAAAATCCACTGGTGCAAGCCCGCGATTGAAAGAGGCTCGTCCTGCAAGCACCCAATTACAATCTCCATGGGTTCCACTCGTGGTCATGGCAAAAGCCATCTCTGTCCCAGATACCGTCAGGAAAGGGATCCCAAGAGACGCAAGGATGATGATGCCACTGGGGCTTGGGGTTCGGGCTCCACACTTGCTTCTCAGCCCCATGATATCAAGGTCAGTGCATAGTTCATGAGGATATTACGAGAAGGTTACCTTGGGCTATAATCTGAAGGCCTAATGTGCGCAAAATTTAGTAATTATTTCATTTAAATCTCCTGGTCAATCCATTTCAGACTCTTCTTCACGAGATTTATTCCTTTTGTCCGAGAAGCAACAGTATTATATGGTTCAAATTTCAAAGATCATTTGACTTATATGGCCGCGCCTGACGCGCTCTGGATTTGCCTAGCTTAGTAAGTCGTCGTGAAACTGTGAATATCTCCATGTCGGCCTTAGCTACGTTGTGTTCACTACATTGACATACTAGATGGCTAATTGTGCTAGTTCTCACCGCCTCACTGGAGCTATATCAGTGAGCGTTTACTTCATGACATCCGTAGCGTGGACCTGTCTCCAAGTGTTGGTCGCAGAATTCCACAGTGTGATTCCATCATGCTTCATTTCACAAATCCGTTTCGCTGGCGTATATGAACGTCACTTTGGGTCTTAGTCTCCCATTTTCCCATTGGAATCAATCTCATCCAATCCCAGCCCAAAGAGACTGCCAGACCAGATTTTGGCGATGATGGTGGGTCTGACAATGTAAAGACACATTTCCCGCGTTTCCGTATCCCAACAATGGGCTGTAATTACCATTTACTAATCCGACAAGCTAGATTGCTGAATCCTCCAAAGAAACACCCAACGTTATCGTCGACCACCTGCATACCGATCAACAAGCTAAATGCAACAAAAAAATTGTGCACCTGAAGAAGCCACCAGACTTCATCGCCATGGGCTACTCCGGATATATCTGCAAAGCCGATGAAGATACCATCATCAAACATCCAAGGTACCTTCCCGATAATGAGCCTTATAATGAGATGTACCGCGATATGATCAGCACCGAGAAACAGATCTATGAGCGCCTGGGAAACCATAAAGGGATTATTCCGTTCCTGGGCGTGCATGATCAGTCAACAGGCGCAATTAAGCTCGCATACGCACCTCAGGGAGACCTTGAAAGCTACATTCAGAACCATGATAAGCCATCTGAAGCAATCCGCGCCTCATGGATTCAATCAATAGTCGAGACATTCTGGCATATCTATTCTTGCAAGATTCTCCATCAGGATGTCAAGCCCAACAATATACTTGTTCATAATGATAGCCCGAAGGTGGCTGACTTTGGCAATGCCGAGATATACGCGTTGGATGCTAATATGGAAGCTATCTACATGGAAGAGCCTTTTCCGCGAGTCGACATACTCGGCATTGGATGCATTATTTATTCTATCGCAGCATGGCGTGCCTTCCGGTACGACTACTGTGAACAGGATCGCTGGCCGGAATCTGAGGATCTCCCTGTAACAACTGGTTTGCTTTGTGAAGATACCATCAGGAAATGCTGGAGTAATAGCTATGAGAACATGCAGTCGCTGTATGAGGACTTCAATGCTTCCACTAGCACGAACGTGTCGTCTGCGAAGGAAGTGTGATTCGTGCTTATTTACCACCTCAGTACGTTGGAATATGGCACACTTTACTGGATCTTAAAGTTCTGTCAGACTCCATCGAATCTTGATGGGAAAAATACTGAATTTACAATCATTTTCTACCTAAGGACCCCAACACGCTGGTCACTGAACATAGTAAATAAGACACAGTTTGTATCTATAATGGAATTTTTTTCTCGCCAGCATTAACAGCGCACCTTATAAATTCCCATCGTGTCCAAGACTGGAACAATTCATAGCACCGCCGTAATATGTCATCCCGTGTTATAGCACTATTCAATCAATATCCATCATGTCACTATCCTCCGGCTCAGGCAATGGTGCGAACGATATAACCCGCGCTTTCGGTCTCCAAAATCGTCTCTCCTTAGCCCTCAAAGGCCGGGGTCTGTCAGGTTGTTGGTTGCGATCATAATTCCAGGTGCGAAGCACCCAGCGCAAAAGCATTATTCCATGAAGAAGGTCATAGGCATCCAACTTGAACGGATTCCTCTCTCCAGGGACGTATTGATAAGTGTGACGAAACATACCCGGTTTGATCCTAGCCATTTCATGTAAAGTCCAGATCGCAGTAATTCCTACAATATTGTTCATCGTGACCTTGTCCCAGTCCAATAGGGGAGGTTCTGTATCATCGAAGATGGATATAAAAGCCAGGTCTTGGGACCAATAGAATAGCTGCATGTCAATAGTCAGGATACCCCCTACGTCGTCGTAGGCCCTCTTTGAAGGCTTCATGCTACTGACAAAATCCTCGAGGATTTTCGCCATCCTTGGGCCGCTCCGGTAGCATAGATCCCATATCTCTGTGGTGGCATTCATGCCCCAGGCTCCGGCGAGGAGTTCATCGTCCGAGCTGAGCTGCTTTACATACCCGGCGGTGTAGTCGATTCCTTCGATCTCGTTGTATTTTTCATCTTCTGACGGGCGGGGATGGGGGTTGTGAATGCTGCTCTCTAGGTCTTAGATAGATAATATTAGTACATTATAATGTGGGCTGAAAACGAGGTGCCCCAAGCGGATATGCAGGGATTGTTTAATCATCAGGTACTTACTGGCCATGATTCTAACCCTTGGTATGGACTTGCCCACAGATAAACTGACTTGACGTTTCTAGTCGAGGGGTTCTATTTCCGACCTGTATTAGACAATGGGCGCTCTCTCTTATAGAAGTCCGGGACTAGAGGGAAACCAAAATACTATTAGACTATATCGGGTAATCCCTTCACTTCGATGTAGCAGGGGTGAATGAGGCAATACGCTTAAACAGCCTGACATCCCATCATTTATCGTATAACCCAGCCCCATTCCCTAGGTGGGGCAAGTTAATTTGTAATGCTGGAGTTTCCAGCTATCTAATAAGACCTTGCCTGTCTTATACACAGAACAGCAGGGTAGCTTGTCTCTTTGTCTTGCCATTTTCCAGGCTAATTCCGATGCTTGAAGGGATTTTCACACAGAATTGGCCTTCGAGACGAAACCCTCTGTGTGGGCATCAGCAAGTATCGGTAGCTCTAAATGCCCCCAGGTCAAATAATTCTGGAGAATGCGATTTACCAAGAAACTAAGTGCTAAGTCCGTAATGTAATATTGTTTCTAGCGAGTGCATACATCTATTAATCCGCAATTCTGTCATTTGAGCTTCTTTGTTATCCTCCCGCTACTACATTTAATATCATTTCAGCATACAGTGCATATGATATAGATGCAGGCAGACGATATAAAGAAATACAGTCCAATTTGTCTAGGCTTAGCGAGCTTTCTATTTCCGAGGATACAAAATACTACTTATCTGCTCGACTTGGATGTCGTAAGGGAATAAAGTATATCTGCAATTTATATTGGAATATATTGGACTAAACTACCTCGAACGAAGCATATCTCCAAGATAACTCACCTCCTCCTGAGATTTATTCTGGTATATAAGGCGTCTTCTTATTGAAGATGGCCTTGCTTTGCAATCTACTTCTTTTGTCGATCGTGAAACGGAAAATTCGATTTTATAATTAAACTCATATTAAACCCTCCACAGATTGTCCTTTCCAGATCCACCGACTCATTGAACTCAATGAATAGTATGACAAATTCTAATAATCCACTCAGACCAAAGGGACATATTCCCCAGAGTTTTACCGATTTGAATCCATAAATATCTGCGTAATCGTGGAGAGAAAATTATCCACATGCTCCTTGACCCAGCTGCCAGTCTCAGATAGAATATCCCATAACCAAGAACACGCGGATTTTATTGAATCAAAGACCTTTTGAAATCCGGTCTTGATACCATCCCAGACCATAGAACAGATATCGCAGATATATTGCCAGAACCCGGGATTTTGGAACGAACTATCATTGGACGACTCATCGTTAAAGGATTCATTATCGAGCAATCCATCATCAGACCGTTCATCATCAGAGCATTCTACATCGTATGAGCTCTCCTCGGACAGTCGAGGATCAGACGACGACTCAGCTGAAGGCATATTGTTAGATAGATTATCAGGAGATGCCTCATCGTCAGCTTTATCTTCCTCTTTGGGGTCATCGGAGAGCTCGGCCGTGCCTTCAGAGGAACCAAACAACTTCTCTTTTAATAAGATCCATTCGTCATCCAGTTGCCTTCTCACATCAGGGGTGATGCGCAAGCGCATATAAGGGGGAACATATCCACTGCGCCTTTTTGCCTCAGATCCTCCATGTTGTGAGGATCCGGATGCCCACCTGCAATTGAAAGGTCCTCTAGTGTGGCATATGAGTATAGTATATTTGACAGCATTGATCATTTAGTCAGATTCGAAGGGGACTAACTCATTCGCATGCATCTTTTGTGGTGTAGACTTGGCCCGGTGTCTCAGTGATATTCGTTCCAGCTTGCAGGATGGTGATGGGAATGGAAATGCCCCTTAGATATATTACAAGAGTCTCCGAGCGGAAGAAAATTCCGGAGAACGAATAATTGATTCGCAACTATGACAGTCTTTGCCTGACATGACTAATTTTATGTTATTTCAGGTAGTCAACAACAAAGCAATAGGAAGAGAAGAGAGAATATATTTCTTTTCCGACCAGTTTCAATCTCGCTGCTGAGTGACCTTGGCTGTCTACAACTCCGACGCTCACTAAGAGGTAAGGCGGTACGTCATGCATGCAAGCCGAGAGCTATTTGCATTGTTCTTTTGTGTTTGATCGAATTTTAAGGACCCAGAAAATCACTGTCCAATTGGTTGTTGCGTCCGATGAATTGCCTTACTTATGATCAGGACTTGCCAAGTGCCCCATCCAAACTCAAGACTGGATCTGACCCGCATTCAGGGTGTAAGCTGCCCGCATCTTCCGGGGTTTGAGCTTATCTCCGTCATGTCCCATCAGGTAGCATTATAAACAACCCGTATATAACAACCACATGGAATGCAGTTTCTAACACCTCAGGCTAACCACTCCCTTCCCAAGCGGTGATTTATTTCGCCTTCATAAATAGAATCACGCGCCTCCCGACTCCTGCTGGCATGCTCCCCTCGCCGCAACCGGGTCTCCCCTCGTCTGAACGCCATGACCTTGTACACCACACAGCGAGCACGACGTAAACTGCACGATGAACAATGCACTTGGCATTCTGGGTACCATCCACAGCACGACTTCGACTGGGTTGAGAAGCCACGCAATATTCGGCCGATCTAGAGTCCTACGGAGTGGGTGAATTAACCCCAAGAAATTTGTCTTATTCTTCGACATCGCCGAGTAGTATGCAGGTACCAGACTGTGATGGATAAAACTGTGTCTCGGTCAGGAAACATGTAGGTCTATTTAGGCGACATGGTATTGAGTTGGTCGTGTTGTTATGACCCTACCGTTAGATGTCCTCAGATAGAATGTACGGATATCCTAGTTTTTGGAAAGAGGGTTGGCATAGAACTCCATATAGCTCGCGATAATATGTTTCTGGAAGTGATGCCGCCAGAGGGGAGTAAAATTAAGATTCAATCCGTGTGAGGAAGTAAAGCAAGAGATATTGAAGTATTGGCATATATCAATTGCAGCCGGATATGACCTGCAAAAGCCAAGGTGTTAGTTCTTATCCATGGAAAAGTTCACACCATAATAACCAGCGCAAAGACCAAAGGGATATGATGACTCAATTTCTATATGATGTCGAGAAGTGTCAACCGATTCCAGATTCAATTACAATCCATATGCCTACAACAACCCATGCAGTGGATACCGGAGTTAAGAGACCCTCGACCCACTCCTTCTCCATCAGCCCCACCAGCGGATTGACTGATAACGGGCCAATGATAACCGAAGTGTAAGCATCTTGCACATCTATTTAAGAGCCACTTGTTAGCCTCGCCCCGTGTAGGTAGTGGTAAAAACAGACCAACCCTCCTTTGTGTCAGAGAACCTTCCAAATGCAGCTGGAACGGTTATCACATCCCGCACTGGCCGCAGCCCCCGAGGATGACTGGAGCGGAGTGAGCAGTCGAGTTATACGGCGCCGAGTGCAGAATCGCCTCAATCAGAGGGCCTATCGTGAGGACTAGAACTCGTCTTTCCTCATTATTGATAGAGATGGCATATTTCTCTGACAAATTCATTTTTCTCGTCACAGGAGCACGTCAACGGAAAGCTGGCGTTCTATCGGGTGCCGCAAACAGTATCCACAACCCATCATCCCCGAGCTCTCCACATCCTCAAAGCCCACTTCCCCCTTCGGGTACAATTACATGTAGACTATCCAAGGCCGAGCATGTCCGATGCACATTTGCCCCTCCAGATGTTCACGAGCTGATGGCCGACTTTGAAACCGGGGCTTTGCATCGCTACCTGGGCGGATCCCCACAGACCGACATGCTTCTGAATCTAAGCAGAATGAACGTGCTCCGGGCAGCCTACCAGAATGCCCTTGCTTTAGGCATGACTGCTGAGTGGCTGTGTCTCGATGATACTATTTCCATTTTCTCGCTCGATGGCCCCCATGTCGTCCCGAAGGATCATGTCGGCATTCCCTACAGCCTGCGCCCAACAGCCCTACAGCGTGCGACTCCACATCATCCATGGCTTGATGTCTTCCCGTTCCCTAGCATGAGAGATAATCTCATCCGAGCAGGCGATGATCTTGATGACGATGAGCTCTGCCACGATTTAACGGCTTTCTGGGATACGCGTAGCAGTAATGCTACGCTCCTCGTGTGGGGAACACCCTGGGATCCGGGGAACTGGGAGGTTACAGAAGATTTTGCTAAGAAGTGGGAGGTATTTCTTCGAGGGTGTCCGGAAATTCTGCGTTCAACGAACAGTTGGAGGGCTAGGAGAGGAGAGAAGCCTTTGATATGGGAACGCATCTTTACTTTCGTCGATACATGAGACTTGTACCTATGTTTATCAATCATTCATGAACTCCAGATAATGTGTTATGAGCCACAGAACGTAGTTTGTACCCTTTTGAAGCATTTATAGGCCAATAATATTCCGTATTTTTAGTCCTTGAGTCCAGCCGCTATCTCACAGTATCTGGTATCTAGGATCTAATGGTTCTTGAAATCCGACTATGTGCAGAAAAACCTCAGCCATGGAGTTGCAGTAACGGGTTAGTATCTGAAGAGGTGTTGAAAGCAACTTGGTCAGGGACCAAGTTTGTACCTCAAAGTGGAGAATGCTATCTGCTTACAATTTCAGTGCAATTGGTGGATGCTTGCTGTGGAGACTACTAATCTGCAGTGGCTGCACTTTGCTTACAATCCTGCTCTGATTGGCTGGCTAGCAGCAGTGGATCTTAGAATCAGAGTATCAAGTGCAACATCCATCATGTATGTAGCCATCATGGTGCGTTGAGGGTTTATCGGACGTTTCCCTACGCAGTGATCAGCCGTGGTCATAAGGAGATACTATACTTGCGCTCTATTTTGGATGGTCGGCAGTCTTGCGTAGAACGTGAAATGAAATACTCAGAAGTGTATTTTTCCTACAAAGACTGCAGCTGCACTAAGAGATCGATACTGAATTACATCCCAGCAGCCTTGATAATACTATCACCAAAAAGCTGCAGCGCTTGGCGGGTTGTGACCCGTAAGCAATCCGCCGTTTTCCCCACTGATGAGAGCCTTGACGCCAAAAGGGCCAGCTGCCTTCTCATATTCCTCCATTCTTGTGTAGTTTCGTCTCCGGCAAGAAGGACCTATCTTGGCTAAGTTCTAAAATTCATTCCTCCACGTCAGAGATACCAGTAATGTTATGTCCTGAAACCAATCATGTTAGATTCTATGACTTTACATTGACCAGAGCGTCAAGGCCATGGCACACAGCAGACACGACTTTGCCTGCCCCTTATATGATGACGCCTCGGTCCTACTTCGGTATGCTTCCGGACAAGGATCCAGGGTAGGCCCGTCTACTCAATATGTCCTGCATATCTAGTGAGATATGAATAATTGACTAGAGATCACCGGAGTTCTGCCGAAATGTTGTAATCCCACGGACTTAGCGGACGTAATTCACATCGATATCCAGAATGAATCCTACATAAGGCCGACCCTGCCCCTCAATCAGAAGTATTAAAACGCCCAACCTCCTTGCCAACCTTCACTTCTCCTAAACATCATCACTTTCAAGAGAACATCTTAATCAGAGGAACATCGGTCGACATGACTTACACAATCACCGTCGTCTTCCCCAACGAGCCCGATGCCAAATACGATATTGAATACTACACCAACGTTCACATGAGGCTAATTGAGAAGCATTGGACCAAGTACGGCCTCAAAAGCTGGTCCGTCACCAAGTTCGGTCCGGCCTTGGACGGTACACCCCCTCCGTATGCTGTTGGTAGCCGAGTACACTGGGAAAGTGAGGAGGGGATGAAGAAAGCATTTGAGAGTCCCGAGGTGCCGGAGGTTATGGGGGATGTTGTTAATTTCAGCAACAGGCCAGCTATTTTCTTGTTTGGGGAGACTGTACAGCCTTCTCCTAAGCCTTGAGGGTTAGTGTAGGTATTTACGCGATAAGGGTATCTAGTCTGTTGTGACTAATTCGATTACAGAGTTCTTCTTGGCCTCTTCAGCATGTTATCCCTCATAATATGGCACGTTGAGATCAATCTTTGCGATTTTTGTTTCGCTGGCGATCGCCGAGGTCAGAGCGTCAATCGTCCTTAATGATGCTAGTTCTAGTGAGGGAAATTGAGATGCGGTGTTATTTTGCATAAATGAAAGGAGTGAAAACTATGGTGATGTTTAACCCTTGAGGCTAGAACCTAAACCTATCACTAGAACTAGCTGCGAAATATATCATCATGCTACCACATACTCAAATTTAACATTTGATATAATAACAATATGTAGTGTACACACAAATCAACCACACTACAATCTTATCTTATCTCTATCCCCAACTCCCCGGGCGTCCCCCTTCATCCCCGCACGCATCGGCGACCTCCGCCACAACCCCATCTATATAACAAAACCCCCCTACACAAAACCCCCACCAAAGTAAACACTACTAATCACTTTCACTCCTACCTCCACCTCCAGTTATATCTCATTCCCCCTCAATTGAACCAAAATGCTCCTAACCAACACCACAATCCTAACCCTCTCCCCAACCCGCACAATCCTCACCAACGGCGCCCTCCGCACCGAGTCCAGTTACATAACCGACATCGACAAAACCCCCGTCCTACTAGCCAAATACCCCGATGACGAAGTCATCGATCTAACCGGGCACATCCTCATCCCGGGACTGATCTCCACGCATATGCACACCGCCCAGACGCTCCTCCGCGGCTGCGCAGACGACCTCGAGCTGGTATCCTGGCTGTGCGAGCGCATCTGGGTCCTGCAGGGGAATTTCACCCCCCAGGATGGGTATGCGGCGGCGAGGTTGAGCATTGCGGAGATGTTGAAGAGTGGGACGACGTGCTTTTTGGAGAGCATGGTATTTCTCTCTCTCCCATTCTTTTCCGTATTCATTTATTTATGTAGGTGGATGATACTGATGTGATACTGTGTATGTGTAGTTCGCAGACCGGTATGGCTTTGACGGACTATGTCGCGCCGTCGAGGAGAGCGGGATCCGCGGGTGCTTGGGCAAAATCGTCATGGATACGGGACGGTACGCGAAGGATGATGCGTGGGCAATGCACCCCGGGTTAATTGAAGACCGGGAGACGTCGTTGCTGGGCACGATGAAAATGTGGGAGAAGTGGAATGGGAAGGCAGGGGATCGGATTAGGGTTTGGTTTGGTGCGAGGACGCCGGGGGGGTAAACACCCTTTTCTTTCCTATCTATGCACTGCCCTCTTATTATGGTAGTAACTGACAAATCTCTCAGAGTGTCTCCTGCCCTCTACAAAGAAATGACCGCCCTCTCAGCGCAACACAACATCCCCATAACCATGCACTGTGCCGAAGTCTCCGCAGACCGGGACTTCTTCGCGTCCGTCGACCATACCCCCATGACCTACTGCGATAGCGTCGGGCTCCTTTCTCCCTCCACGGTACTAGTACACATGGTGCACCTCGACGACGGGGATATCTCCCTCCTCGCCAAGTCCGGAACGCACGTCGCACACTGCCCCACTTCCAATGCAAAGCTCGCGTCGGGCACATGTCGAGTCCCGGATCTGCAGCGCGCGGGGGTGAATATTGGGTTGGGGACGGATGGTGCGCCGTGCAATAATACCTGCGACATGTTGCAGGAGATGAAGCTAGCGGGGATTATACATAAGGGGACGAGTGGGGATCCGACGGTGGTGAGCGCGGAGGAAGTGCTGGAGATGGCGACGATTAATGGGGCTAGGGCGTTGGGGTTGCAGGATAGTATTGGGAGTTTGGAGGTGGGGAAGAAGGCGGATATTGTGGCGATTGATGCTAGGGGCGTGGAGATGCAGCCGTGGTTTAATCCGGTTAGTGCGGTGGTGTATACGGCTACGGGGAGGGATGTGCGGTTTGTGATGGTGGATGGCAAGGTGGTTGTTAAGGAGGGAGAGTTGGTGACGATGGATGAGGGGGAGGTGGTGAGGGAGGCAGAGAGGAGGAGTAGGGAGGTTGTGGAGAGGGCTGGGTTGGGGGGGAAGGTGGGTGCTAGGTGGCCGGTTTTGTGAAATTTTATTGTATTGTATTTTATTGTGAGGTATAACGCATTGATTAAAGCTTTGGCAACCACAGAGTCTGCGAATTGCACCATCCTGTCAGTCCGTTCAATCCCCACTCGACTCCAAGCCCGCTCTTCTTGTGTCCGCCGAATGGTGCGAATGGCGCACATTCGAAATGTGAGTTCACCCAGACTGAGCCCGCCTCGAGCTGATCTGCCATACGTCGTGCGCGCTGCAGATCGCGACTCCAGACGGATGCTCCTAGACCGTAGTCGGTGTTGTTAGCGCGTGCCAGTACGTCCGTCTCGTCGGACCATTTTAGGAGAGGCAGGATAGGGGCGAACGGTTCCTCTTGGACCACTCGGGATGTCTCGGGCGGGTTGTCGACGATTGTTGGGGTGATGAAGTAGCCTGTCCGGCCTGGGACATGATTACTCGAGAAAGTGCTCAGACCGCTGGAATTGATGTTGTTAAGAAGGTCAGTGGCCTTGTCGTACTGCATCTTGTTTTGCAGAGGCCCAATGAATACGTCCGGCTCGGTTCCCTCGCCCATCTTCAAGCTTTGAACATGCTGGACGAGTTTATCGCGGAACTCATCGTAAATCTTTTCGTGTACATAGAGGCGCTTGATCATCATGCAGATCTGACTAGAACACAAAAAGGAGAGGAAAGCAATCTACATTGTTAGCAGAGGTATTAGACTCAGAAGATGCGACACACCTGAGGAATTATAGCATCAATGTCTACATCCTCGCAGACAATGCAGGGGTCATTCCCGCCCAGTTCCAATGTCACCTTCTTCAACGTCTTAGCACAACTAGCCATGACTCGCTGGCCCGTAGCTATCGAGCCCGTGAAACTGATCTTCTGAATACCCGGATGCTCCGTAATCATCGGTCCCAGATCGTCGCCCCCACTGAGAGCCTGCACCACGCCAGGTGGAAAGCATTGCGTTGCCAATTCCGCCAGCTTCAAACCACAGTATGGCGTGTATGGGGAGGGCTTTACGATGATAGTGTTACCCGTGTACACAGCCGGGACAATCTTGCCGATAGCCAGCAGCACGGGAAAGTTCCAGGGCACAATAGCAGCGGCTACACCGATGGGAATATAGCGCTGAATTACCTCCCGGTCGTCTGTGTCATTGACGACCGTCTTGGGAATAATGATGGAGCTGAGCGAACGGGTCCACTGAATGGCCATGTCTAGCTCGGTCGATGCCTGGCTCAGTGATTTGCCCTGCTCGCGGGACAAAAGTCCCACCAGATCTTCCTTA